ACGTTGGTTTTAGAGATAGGGATGAACGCATTGACACTGCGACGTACGAACCAACAACAAAATGAGCAAACTGAGAAACTTCAAGCAACGGTTGAAAGTTTAGCCAAACAGATGCAGTCCATCTTGAACCTACAACAACAACAAGGAGCTTCTCGTGAAACTACCAGACCTAAGTACAGACGAAGGAGTAACAGCAGAAATTTCAGCAACGATAGAGGAAGACGAAAATTGGACATCTGTACTATCATTATAAATTTTCTGCAGAGGCAAGACGCTGTTTGAAACCTTGTGCCTTTGTAAACACGGCATCGGAAAACTTAAATTCCAGTCAGTAGAGACGACGACAACTTTCACAAAAGGATCGTCTGTTCTATATCCTTGATAGAAATCACAGATATAATTTTTTAATAGACACCGGAGCCGAAGTGAGTCCAAATTACTTGCTGTAAAATGAATTGAAAAAAAAATGTCCATTTCAGTTCTATCTTATTCTTATTGAAGATATTACTTTGCAGAGCATTTCTTGTCCAGTCTTTCTTTCATTTATTTCCCTTTTCTTTATTATGTACCGATTTACTCGGACTAGTGTCCTTATTTTGGTTGTTATCACCACAACGTTTCGTTGCACCTTCCATCTGTCTTCAGACGTCAGACGTAGTTTGTAAACTGGTAATTTCGAACAGAACTCCGTGTACAATCCACGGGAGATTGTTTTCATTCCGCTAGTGGGATATCTCGCATCAGTTATTTCAAACCTGTGATGTATTTCCCACTGAATCAGTATCTATAACCTCTTGACCTACCCGACAATTTGAATAAAAATTTTCCTTTTTCTTCTTCTTGAACATTTATTAAATTGTTAGCATATACAAATTTCACAATAATTCTAGGAGAGTGTTTGTCAGTCGGCGATACGGAGCCACCTTTTTTATTCTACTTTTTCTGCAAGTTGATATGACAAAGAGGCTGCCTGATAGAACCCTTGCATCTCTTCCTCCTCTCTCTCTTTCTATTGCCTCTCTTTCGAACTAACAGCTTTTGAATACGCATGAGATGAGGATCCTTCTTCATTGGGTGCCAAGTTTTCTCTCGCCAGAGACTAGTTCTTGATTAACCGGGCTACTGCGCGACCAGAGTTTCGTTGTCTGCGAATAGGAGCTCTTTGACCAGCTGCATCGAGGTCTTGTTTTTGGCCTGGTTTTTCGTTTTTGCGCGTGTTGATGTAGGCATGATTTTTGTTATCCATCTCCTTTGTAAACTTTCAGAATCCTACCACACAACCACTTTCGATTAGGAAAGTTTGGGGAAGCCACTGCAGCAGCTGATTTGCGCAAATTGGAGTGTATGATTATAGACATTTTGGTGTACAACTCAATTCTTCTAAGATTATTTAGAGGCTTGATCTGCTTAGCATTTCGAATGCCTTTGTCAGGCCAACAACAAAAGTGACATAAAAGTCTTTTGTGCACAGTATCTTTTGTGGACCTGTCTTCGAGTAAAAAAATGCTTATTAATATGCCCTGAAAATGTACTTACATTCAAACAGCTTTAGTTATTAGTCGTCTTCTTCCGTTAACCGTCGAAATCACGTTGAGCAATTCTACGTAACCCCTCTGTTTTGTTTCTTTGAAATCCTGTGGTAGTTTTCCTGATTCAAGCACCTAACGAAAAGTTCGTATAGCCTTTTATGCAGAATAGAGACATGGTGTTTCCAAACCTCTTGGATTCTGCCGTCGACATTTTGCCATACTTTTGCTGTTTACTGGTTTTCGTGATTATTTGTAGTGTCTCATCCACCTCCATTTGTTTGGTTGTTGTTGGATGCAATTCAGACTCATATGTTATGCACATTGCGCTGAAGAGATTTTGTAAGTGCTTGGATCAGCGATTCAAAATGGAAGCTCTGTTGGTATGGAGCACTAGGCCATTTGTATTGCGTGGTGGGTTTGGTGTCTGGTAATGTAGGTTCATGCAATGGCCTTTAGGGTTTGGCAAAAATCCCCGAGGTCGCTGTCTTAGAGAGGTTTGTCTACCGCTCGTTGTCTATAGAGTGAAGTTTGCGTTGAAGTTTTTGACATGTTTTATGGAAAGAGATTCTCTTTTGATGGGCGAGAGGTGCCTAGTATACGGTCTTCTTCTTTGAAAGTATATCTATGATATTTGATTTGTTTTCATTGCTTATTCTTGAGGATACTTTCGGAAGTTATATATGCTTTTTTTACCGTGAGAGTAACCCTTTACAAGGCCCGGGGCCACTTGAGGTAGAGGGTTATGTTAGGAGTCTATTTGTGAGCATAGGTGATGAAGATAACAATTAACCCTAGCCTGGAATAGGTTAAGATTATAGTGAATCGATTCCACATGGCAGTAGTTCGTAGGAAGAAGCTGTTCAAGTGGAACTTATTTCTCGCCGATGGAAGACGGAGGGAATGTGGGTGGTTTTCTACTATGTAAGTGGCATGGTGTGTTCTTGACGTGAAGGTTTGCCTTAGCGAAACCAAGGAATGTAGTTCGTCCGAGCATTTTCCATGGGGATAGCGGTAGAGCAGCGAGAGGTTTGCCACATCCTGCCTGAAGGGGTTGAAGGATGGAGAACAAGGGCTCGGGGACGCTTTTGAACTCTATAAATGCAGGAGAGATCTCGCCCAGATATGACAATGATTTTTGGCTGGATCTGACTCTTGTAAAAGTAGAGGATAGCAGAAAGAGTCAGTTACTTACTGGAGCGGTACAGGGAGTTGACCATTTTACTTGCATCCTTAGCAACGATGTTGGGTGTGAGTTTGAGGCCCAACAGTCTTCCAAGGCACGGTGCTTCCCCGAGAGGAACTCCGTTCATCTTAATTGGTGGCAGTTCGGGGTTAGATTGGAGATCTTGGTCTTCGAGATATTGAATGTAAGCAAACAATTTTTATCTCATTTGTACAAGATAAGAAGAGAGATCAGTCGACAATCTCTGGCCATCGAGAGTTTTAGAGGTGCGCCCGTATATAGTCGTAACATCGGCATGATGTTTTCAAATGATCTGGGTATATTCTTAGGCAGATCATTTATAATAGATCAAAAAGAGGGTTGGTCCAAGGAGTGACCCCTGTGGGATGCCTGCGTTGACCGCTAGGTCATCAGAGGACTGGCCATTAATAACTACCTTCTACCTTTTATGATCGAGAAGACCCTTCCAGTGATTCCATAACAGGGAAGCTTGTGTAGTAAACCTTTATGTCACACCTTGTCGAAGGCCTTTGAGATATCTAGTGCTATGGTCCTCGAGGTGTGTTTGTCGTCAAGATCATCACTGATTCTGCGAGTGATAGTAATTAAGACATCGGAAGTAGATCGGACTGACCAAAACCTATACTGCTCGTCGCTAAAGAGGTCGTTCTTTTCTAGGTTTTTCTTATTGATTATGGCCTCAAAAAGCTTGCTGATAATACTGAGGAGACTGATGGGTCTGTATTGGGAGGGGGAAGAAAGCACGCCCTCATTCTTGAAAACCGGGCATACGCTTGACATCTTTCACAGGCTTGAGAAGGATTTCTCCTTCAAAAAGCAGTTAAGTAACTTTGCTAGGATTGGAGATAATTCTGGGTTGATATTCTTACGGACAATCACTGGAATTTTGTCTGTGGATTTCTTAGGGTTGAGGCTTTCTTAGGACTTATCAAAGTCTAGAAACTTCTTGAGCTGTGATGGCAATATTACTGAGATTATGTTCAGTGTGACTTGGAAATTGGGGAGGGGATGGTCTTTGTCATCTAATGTTGAGTTCGCCTTATCTATCGAGGAGGATATGACCTCGGGGCCATTTATAATTGCGGGCACAGCCGCTTTATCACTGTTCATGATTTAGAATTCACGGATCCAATTTGTTTCTTTTCAACCTTGGTCTCGACTGCTTGTGTGTATCTGTACTTGGTGTTTTCTGGAACTTTTTTGCAGCGATTGCGGACAGTTCTGAATACAGTGAGGGCCGAATTACTTCGCTCCTTGCGATTAATATTGAAGTAGTGGTTTCGGTGGGATATAACCGCAACGCATTCAGGGTGGGATCAGGGTTGGCTGTTTTTGCTGGATTTTTTTTTTTTGGAGGGCGTATAAAACTCTCCATTCCAGAAAGAATGGATAAACTCTAATGATTTTAAAACGCGCACAAATACAATCTTTATTTAAATAATTTGAAATATTTTATAATTTTAAGAATATTTACAAGAATTCTGTGTATCTCAAACTTCAATAAAATTTAGAAAAGAACTTTCATAAACTGATAGATTATATCTGTGTATGTTTCAATAGGGCATAATACATGCACATGAGTTGATTAAATAGAAACAGTTTTTCTGAATAAGGCAAGCAGACAAAGACAAATTGGTGGAATCAAGTTTATTTTGTAAGAATCGAAAACGCTTGCTTCCATTTGGAGATCAATAAAAGAGTGCAAAAAAGCCACGGGTGATCTGGTATCGACCAGTGGTCGATCAGATGCCAATGGAAAAAGTGACGCAAAGCATGCTGGTCGCCCGATAACAATATAGATTATATTGTCTCAGTGACTGACATAAAACACTGCAGTCAACAAATATATTAAACACATATTGGGTGAAAAATATCCCTGAAAATGCATAATATTTTCTTGAAAGAATGAGATGAAAAATTAATTAGTCTCTATATATGTTTGATTTTCAATTGGTCGAATCATTGGTGTCTGAATAGTGGATGCTTTGATTGATTGGGACTTTCGGTACAATCAGTTCTGGAACTGTGTTGATCTTTTTGTTTATTCTCTCTCATCTACACTCTCGCACACGCACACTTGCATACATGCATGTAAACATACGTATACACCGTATATATAAGTAGATGTATGTCAAAGAAAATGAAAATTTTAATAATTATATCCAAATAATTTTTATAATTTTTTTTTTTTTTTTTAACAATTTCTATGATTTCTGTCAAGTAAATGCATTGGAAGTCTTGTTGTTCCTATCGAGGGGCAGAAGATTTTAGCGAAGATTCTTTTCGTCATATTGGTGCAGCCATTTTGTTATTACTTTCTCATTTGTTGTTACCCACTTCACATTAGCTCTGAAAAGAAAGTAACAATTTAGAATAAGGAAAGGATTTTGGAATCGATAAAAGTGTGAGAAGATCAAAAAAGTAAACCAGGAAACGTTTATCTTTTTAAAATCTTCGTTAAATAGATTATTTTTTTGAGTTTTTGATTTTGTTACCATAATGTTTAAAACATTTTTCAGCTTTCGTCATCTGTTGTTGTTTCAAGGCCGTTGATCTAATTTTAAAATCAAGTTTTCATCTAATTATTTGCGAATCTTTAATGTCTTGATAGTTTTCCTAACTGTTGTACTCTTTAAATTACGACGCCCAGAAAAAGTTTCTATTAAGTTGCTTGAATTTTGATGCATTTTGTATTTTTGCCGTGTCTCTTCAGGAAGTAGACGATTATGGTTTACCACAGCTTTCTTTAATATATATAAATTGTTAGGAAATAAAGCGGAATGGTTTCTCATTGTCTTCTCAGACTGGCTGCCACCCAAAGCGAGAGAGCGCATTCAAACCTGTTATTTAATCCATATGTGGGAAGAGAATAGATATATTCATGCCTTTCTCGAAAGTGTACGCAATAGACTAAGCTCTGTGAGTCCAATTTCCGTGCCCATAATCGTCATGTTATATTCACGTCTCTATTGGAAACAATAAACAGACAAAAAAATTTTAAAATTTAAGTTTGAAATTGTACTTCGTAACTCAACCAGGACAAATCCAACTTCAACTGAAACCTCCTCTTATTTTAACAATACATCGTATAAAATTGTAAAATAATTCAACACAAAGAATTCAAATATTTAAAAAAAAAGTGATTATACTTCGAAATTATCCTGTTACCTTGTGCTAAGTTTATCCTGTTATTTGTTATTTGATGACTGAGTAAACAGTGTATGTTTTATAAATTAGTATAATGTTAAGATTCTTCCTAATGCTTATGAGCAATTATTTAATCAAATTTGACTGATAGGCAATTAAACGTTAAAAATACTGAACGCAAATCTTACCTTATAATTTCTATAGCGTTGTCTATGGCGTTCTTTGATCCAAGTGGAGGTTTACTCCGGAACAAATGGGTCACCTAAGAAAATGAATAAAATCAATTTGAGTAACAAGCAAATAAATTATAAATTTAGTTAATGCATTTTAGAGTAAGTAACTCTCTCTTTCTTCCATTCACTTTCTTTTTTGCTATCTATATGGAGGTTTGTTTTAATATTCTCATCTAAACAGGAAGTTGTATTTGAACATCAGTTGAATATTTATAGGCAACATTCGGGGATACCAGGAAGCAAACAATATTCATGCAAATTATTATTAATTTTTGATAACTATTTATTTCATTCTCCTTTGCTTTTTATCGCACGTCCCAGATCGTAATTTTACAACCTTTATTAAGATCTTTCCGTGATAGCAATTAAGCTACAAAGTTCAGAAAGCATATAATCCAATTGTAGCAATCTATCTATATTCCTTGTCCCCTCAAGACGTAAGCGATCATGGATCTCCACAACTTCCTGTCCCTTGTAACTCTTAATAAACTTTGTCTTTCTATTATTTCTCCTAAACCCTGCTCCACCATCCATTTAGTCAAGTTCACTAAGTATGTTATGCGGTGTTTTCCCCCGTCTCTCTTGTCTTCTATCTATTTTTCAGGCCCTCTTACCCACCCCCCGCTTTATGTGCCCCAGAAATATCAACTGCTTCTTCCTGATGTTAAGTATTAATTTCTTTTTTTGTTTCCATTTTCTCGAAAACTTCGACCTTGCTCACATGTTCGGTCTATTGTATCCTCAGTATCCTTCTGTAGAATCACATTTCTGTTGCTTCAAGTCTTCTCTTCATTTTTGTGGAGTTCGTCCAGCACTCACTGCTATACAGGAGGATAGATATCACGTATCAGTTTAGTACTTTTTCCCTTGTTTCTAGCGAATTTTTTTTTATTTCTTAGTACTGTGCTTAGATTTTTTTAATGTTTCCTTGGTTATCCCATTGGGATGGCTAAGGAAACATTAAAAAATGTTTCGGATTTCAGTGTCTCACTTTTCATCCTCTGCTAAAACATTTCCCAGATATTTTAAATTTCTGCAATTGTTTGATTTTTTGTATCTCCGATGTGCAATTCGCGCCTTTTTTTTCTAACAACCATGCATTCTGTATATTTGTAGTTGATGTTTAAACTAAGAGTATTAAAAGTATTCGTATTTCTTAGATGCCCAACTGTCAATTATCATTGACTGGTATTTCTTGCATTCTTATGACTGGCGATGTTTCATGTAAGAATTCGAATATTGGATCTACAGGAATTTGTATTTCTCTTTCGATTTTTTGGTAATTTTCTACATTTAAAATGGTACAAATTAGTATTTATAAAAATAGAAAAATCCTCAATCATGCATTAGTATTATCTGAATATTAATTTAATTGATTAATTAACAATTCAATGACACGATAGATATGAAATTACGGTCAAATCGCGATGAAGCACCGGTTTTCGTTAGATAACCGAAGTTAAGCAGTGTCGAGCCCGGTCAGTACTTGGATGGGGTTATCACCGGGTAATGTAAACAAAAACCAGGTACAAAACCCGTTGTACATAGGGATGACAACTTAATTCTGTAAAAACTCAATTACAATGGAAACCACAACAGTAACGCCTTGTATTTTTAAGAGATGTGGATCCATATTCCTCATTGGAGTCTACGGGACTTGAGGAGGAGGAGGAGGATACACATGATAACTTTCATAAAAGAGAAGGCCAGTACTCTATTGAATATGAATTTGTGACATAAGAAAGAGGGAAAGTTTAGAATTTCAACTGAATGATTGTAGAGTCACAAAAATTCATAAGGCTGCAAATGTTAATAAGGATGTGCTCGTAGCGTAGTGGTAGTCAGCGGGGAAAGTGAGATGGACATGTCAAGTTTAAATTAAAACCGAGGCAGTTACGTTCGCACAAAGATATGAATCAATCTCTTCTCTCTCCAGCTAGGTGTTAATAGAAGGGAAGACTGATCAGCCAATTTTAGAAAAGAAATGCTTGTCACGAAGCTATCAAATCTAAATTGTAAAAAAAAAAACTACTTGCTTCCGAAATCACAACAGCAACACCTAGCAGAAATGGTAATAAGAGTAAAATAATGTTATTTTCGTTTGTAATAATTACAAATAATTTTTTGATAATTACAATAATTGTCAAAAGTTTACACAATAAATGTCAAAAGTTTACACATAACAAAAGTCTCAAATTCTTGTAAAATTTTTTATGACTCGACGTAAATATTTGTTCAATTATGATAATTAGAAATAACTTTTTAATGACGCTGGCTATTTTGTAAATGCGAATCAAATAAGGATACAGTACTGACATAAATTATTTTCAAGGGCAAAGTGTAAAAAGATATACTCATATTGATTGATTTAATAGATAATATTGTGAACGCATATACACGTGTACAAATGTATTGATTGTAATCATACCTGATCCAAGTGAAACGGGTTATTTATAAATTTTGTGAGATATTTTATGAGATCCGAGATAAGGAATACATCTTGAGAAAACCTAAAAATGATAAATATTTCAGATCAAAATCTAACTGAATTTACATGTAAAAAAGCGGTAAATACATACATGACAAACGATAATTCAATTTGACAATCATAGTAATATGAGGTACTATTAAAAGATTTGGTGATTTTAAGGCGCACGAGATAGTTTCTTCTTCTAAAAAAAAAAAAAATAAAATTGATAGAAAACGAGTTTTCTGTTATTTCTTGGTGGTGTGGTTTCCAGATATGTATGAAATCTCCGTGAAATATTAGCTAATTTTCAACACCAACAAATTGCTCAATCGATTCAAATCCTCAACAAAAATACTTTGCAGTTTATTTAAAACGATTGCAAATATCAACGTAATTATTTAAAACTCTAAAAGCAAAATAAAGTAAATTTAGTTTGAAGTTTGAAGCGATTATATATATATATATATATATATATAAAAAAATAGTTTTAATGTATGCTATATTTATGGGGACAGCGTATGTAAATATAAAAGTGGACATTGAGATCATCATCTAGCGGCGACAGTCTGTTTCTTACCAAAACGCTATCTTCAGGCCATGTGCGTTGTTTTGGTTCGACTATTTATATATGCTGGTCAATGGTGCATTATGCGTAGGTCTATTGTATTATTATAACGGAGGTTGGCGGTAACAGTTATGTTTCAAATTATTACAGGAGCTATCGATTAGAAATAATTGTGGATCCGAATGGAGTTTCGTGGCTATTTTATAGTGTTGTTTGTCAACTTTTTTACTCGTTATTTATTTATGTTATGAGAACTGTTATCATTACGTTTATTTGTGCTTATACGTGAATTCGTAGTTCGTTAACTTGTTTACTTATTTATTGAATTGGGCTATTTTTTGCTTATTTATTTATTCTTATTTATTTATTTTCATTTTATTTTATTTATTTATTTTCGTTCTTTTTTACTTTTCGATATTTAAGTAACGTAGTAAAAATTTGCTTTCGTGTCTGCATTTTCAGATGAGATAGTAATCTGTTTTGATCTGGGAAGGTAATTGTAGTTATTTTCTCCTCCAGGCAGAGTTTACAATATTGGGATTTATTATTGTAGGCTGATGCTGTTTTCCTTATTTTCTATGATGTGATTTATTTTTAATTCCCCATATATGCTTACAGAGTATTGCGCTCTTTGAATATTTACTTATTTAGGATGTTTTGTGTGTATAGTCTTTTTGTTTCCAGGATCCTTCAGTGACTCCTATGTATAATTATTCTTTGTTATCTACTTGCATATTACACTGTTCTGCAAGCAATTATCGTTTAAGGGACATTCGTTTTTTTTTGCTCTGCAGTTACACGTGGGTTTGATTTGTGCGAGTGGTTTGTTGGTTGTTTTTCTGTTGCGCCTTTTTATTATTTGTGCAACGTTCTCGGTACAACTATAGCTGATTTTCACTGTGTTTTTCTTGATTATCTTGTTGAGAGTGCTTGATGAGGACAAGTGTTTGAGTTTAATGAATATTTTCCCTACATTTGTTTTTACACTTTTGTTGTACGGTTTATTGAAACATATAATGTATCTTTTCCTGTTGGCTTTTTTTGTGCTGTGTAGTGGGCATGCGAGTGTTACTGAAAATCCGCTATCTTTTAGAGCTGTTTCGTAATATTTCTTGGCTTTCGTTAAAGATTGTTTCACTGAAATAATTATTAAACACAATGCACATGGCCTGAAGATTGATTGAATGCACGAAGCATAGTATCGCCGCCTAGTGTTAACCCCAATATCCACATATATATATATATATATATATATATATATATATATATATATATATATATATATATATAATAATAAATTTAATATTTTTTTCTCGCTTCATGTTCCTGATTCGAAAAAAAATATGAAAACATTCGAATTAAATTTTGATCAGTTTGTTCGTAAATAAGTAAAACTGTTTGCTATCCATATTTTTTTAAACTCAGGAGGTAAGGTTCTCATGCTTAGCCACTTAAGTGATGACCTATCTCAAGAGACAGCGAAATATTGAAGGAAGCTAAATATCCTTGAAATTAAATAGACTCGCACTTACATTTGAAGAATTTGGTCCCATTTGTTTACAAGTAACTGGACCGCCATTATTCTTCCCAGACTACTTTTTGTTAGATGTTTTGCAACCAGTTGAACATCTTGCGGGCGTATCTTTCGGTTGTCAAAAATCCAGTTTGCATACCTAGAAGACAAGAGATATATTATAAACATGATAACGCTGTTTTTTAAAAATTGATTTGTTTTTTTTTTTACGGCTTATCAACTTTTTGCATGTTATTTAAAGCCAGAAAATATTTTAGATATTAAGAATTGTTTGAGATAATAACGATTTATTGATACACGTCCTACTAATTAACCCATATCTGGGGAGAAGAAGAGGCGGATTCATAACTTTCCCAAGGATATTTGCGCGTAAGTGGATATAACGAACATGACTTGAATTGGAACGGGAACTTCACTGTCTAATTTCCAATATGGGGCCGTTATTAGTTACTAGCACTTGCATAGTCAAGTTTAAAGAACTTGGTATCCTTAAACGGTCACTCGTATAAGTACAGACATTGTTTAATTACGTTGATCGTATGGGAATCCATGTTTCAGCGTGATATGGCCGTATACTATAGCGCTTTCTGTTTATCTATTAAGATAATTCAGATGCACATCACTAGACGTCCCTTTTAATGTTGCAACATAAACAACATGCATTCATTGATCATATCCATTTGGCTTTGATAGAAATTTTTATAAGAACTGCAATGAGAAATTTGGGAATATCTTACCTACACTAGCTGTAACTAGTAATAGTTACAACTATTTTTCTGATTGGTTGTATTTTATAAAATATTTCTTTGTAATTCGTTTAGAAAAAACCACCAAAGAAAATGTGTATATATCAATACTTAACATTGGTGTTTGTTAAATTGTCTTTTTAATTTTCTTCCATAGAAATCCTTTTAAATAGAAAAGGTAAATGTCTTGTGCGTGTTGCAAAATAAAATCTCTGTAAGATTTTTTGGTGAATTTTTTTAAATTCCACTTGCAAAGAAATTATCAATTTTTCTTTGTCGAAAATCTGACTTACCTCCATAAAAGCCACGGCACTTGTGTCTGTGCTAGAGCTTCTAATAGCATTTCTTTTTCTGAAGCCACATATGTATGTTCAGTTCGATTCCATACATACTCCCATTCTTTTGTGCTACCTTCTCGCACACCGACTGAATAAATAATTGTTGCCAGGTCAGGGGACAATCTGCGCCATGAAAAAGGAAACAAAAGAATCTTATAAACAATTAACAATCCTTCATTAGATGACTTTACTGACTAATCTGTCAAAATATGGTTTGAATGAGAAATAGTTTTATATAATGCTTCAATAATGAAAGTAGAAAACCAAACAGATTTTAACCGGTAATTAGAATTTTAATGGCGAATAACGATATAGATATACTTGAAAAATTATGAAAATGATATATGACCAAGGCGATCTTTATAAGGATCGCCTTGTAGATAATCCAAAAGTATTACAAGCACAAATACATATGAACAAACACAGGTTGTATTAGGATACTTTACAGCTTCTAAAATTTACCACCTGTCTGTGATTATTTTCTTTCGTTAACACATTTTGCTTTGCTGGTAGAAGGTGGGTGATTGCTGCAGCTGATAATAGGAACTAGAAAACACTGGTTATTACTAATGTGGTTTCAGCGGAGGCATTGCTGGATACAGAAAATACTACCACGAATAAGCCACAGGGACTAAGTCGATTCAAGTAAGGTCAACCTCACCACATGGAGCAAATGTTGGATTAGTTAAGGGATAATCTCCTTTTAATCCTGACACAAAGAGGACCGTGCTGCTGAAGAGCAAATACACATATAAATAACCACAAAAAATGTTACGGCAACGGTATGCTCTTAAGAAAGTCGTTTCAGAACGTTGTCATTATGAACTGGCGAAGCAACAGAATTAATCATGTATTTTATGTCCAATTGATAATGAAATCTACTAGCGAAGGCAAGCAATTCATTTATATCGATGGAACGAAATTAAATTTTGTTTTAGAGCATTCACAGGAAAGATCCAAGGAAGGGACCAGATATTCTGTCTGGGATTATATTGTTCTTTTGTTTGTTTGTGTGACACTATTTAGCTATGGTAATTGGCTAATTAATTAACCATTGAAATTAAAAAACAGGAAAGACTTAAGGCGAAAAAGAGCTATCACGAAAGATAGACTGATCGACGTTAAAAGAAAGATTTTATTCTATTTACGAAAAAGATACTTTTCACAAAAGACAGTAAACCCGCGGAAAAAGCCACGTGTGAGGTCTTTTCAGGTTGATTTATATCTCGCCGAGGGAGATAAAAAGAAAGGCAAATGTGAAGATTTCGGCCAAACCACAAGCCGGTCATAAAAATTTCGGCTTGAGACGATCGCAGATACAGGACAGGGAGAATCAACGTTAATTATCTTTCCAAGATTTTGTTTCTTTTCTTGGATACAGGCGAAGAGAAGCAATGTGGCAATTGTAAAATTTTGGCATTGTCTCGACATAGGTGAGGGGTTTGTTATTATTTACCTTATCAACGTGTCGATTCAGACGCTGAGACGTTGAATAGCGATATGGTGTATGTTAACTTTTGGCATGAAACAGAAAATAGAGTGGAGAATTGAGATTTGGCGAGATAAAAGAATTTAATTTCTTAAAAAGCCAAGGATTCCATTATAAAGCTAACTTAACGAAAGGACCAGATGGCAAACTTTGATAGTGATTGATGGGTCGGTAGAGAGTGTTGGCTAAGTGAATTCTGGGTGGCAGACCTAGTTAAACTTAGAGAGTCAGACAAACCTACGAAGGTTTCAAGCCAGCCTTCCCTGACGATCCGCTTAAGTGAAGCCTTGGTAGGTTTGTCTGGCTCTCTAGGTTTAACTATATATATATATATATATATATATATATATATATATATATATATATATGTATGTGTGTGTATTTCTATTTTTTATTCTTTTTATTTCTATATCGTCCAAGCTACACACAAATACACATTCTCGTTTAATTTATCTATATTTCAATGTGATTTGGTTTAATTTGTCAGAAATCCTATGTTAAAGTAGTTTAATAATGTATGGTATGCTTGTCCCTTTTGCTATCACTTCTCCATGTGATGGATGTCCAGCGTCGTTGTACTTCAATATTTAGTGTAGGCTCTGACAAATCCAGTGATGTATTTCGGGTTGTTACCGCGCTGAAAAATCCGCAACTGGCTCAAACTATATTTCGACTAAGATTAAAATAATAATAATTACTAAAAAATTTATTTAAAAGTTAGTACATTTATATTCATTGACACTACTGTATATATAAACAAAGACATTTGAATTAGTACCAAAAAAAGATACAATTTTCGAAAATAATTTTAATCCAAGAGATTTGTAATTTACATTATCTAAAAAATCATTAAAAGTTTAGAATTTCAAAATTCTAAGAGAGAAAGATAAAAATCTCCCAAATCACCTGTATCCGTTATTCATCCATTTTTTGAACATTTCGTTGGCATACTTAACGGCATCCGGTATTTCAAGATCACAGGCAGCGTTTAGGATCAACTTTTGCATTAATCTGAAAGGAAACAATTCATTTTCAACGCTTACATGGCAATTGTTATTTCATTGATGGTAAGTACAATCAGAGCTCGAGGGGGAAAGGAAAGTTAGTATAGCTAACAAACCAATGTGATAGTAAAGATAGAAAAATATTTTGGGACATGTCACTCGCATGAAGTGTCATTCTTAATTCTAACCAGGAGGAATGATCTTGTGATCACGTCGTTATATCACTTGATAAGTTAAATGGCTTGTAATCTAAATTAAACTAATGATGCCTTGTTTATTATTCTTGAAAACTACTGGAACAGGAGAAAGGAAAATCTACTCTAAGTATGGACTGTGTCAAATACTAAAAAAGAAGTTGGCTAACCAGACAAATAGCTAAGAGAAAGATTACAAAATGCTTGGTATTTGATATGAGAAATAAAGGCTGTTGAAGCGAACGTTCAAAGATGAGAAAATTACAAGCAGGAGAGGAGAGACTGGGCGAAATGAAGCGTAACATTTAACAGACAGAAGGAATAACCAAAATTAAACAACTGCTATGCTACGAGAGAAAGTCGTTGAATAACTCAAGAGACTAGAATAAATGACAAAGTCCAATTGAAGATAAGTACTTCCAAGGGAGCTTATTTCGCATATCATTACTACAGAGTTCTATCCTCATTGGGTGTTCTATAATTGTGACCTTGTGCCAATCAATTTTGTAAATAATAGTACGAGTAAAAGATGTACGCTTTTAACAACATAATACCAACGATCTGAGGTCAGACTAAAAAATAATAAAAATAAAAAAATCATTGTAGATTAAAGTAGAAATATAAATAATAAAATTAAATAGATAAGTGCTAAAGAGAGAAGGAAATCTAAAAGATACAGATAGAGTGTTTACCTTTCACGGACCGTTCCTGTTTCCTCAAATGTTGTTGCTTTAAAAGCTGGCGTTACTAAATCAGTCAAATATTTCTGAAAAATAAGCCAAATTATATTGTATATTCGGGCACATACACACACATATACTCACACATGCACAAGGTTTCAAAAACTTCAAATACAGAATTTTGGAAATAATCATTTTTCTTCAGTGAATGCAATTTGAGCAATTTTAGAAGACAATGAAATATTTATCAGTAGCCACACTCCGTTCACCATGTTACGATGCGCATCTATAAATGGTCAAGTAGCTGATGCAATTTTGCGATAATTGTAATCCCCATCGTCTATTTTTATATTTTGAGATTCAAGAAAAAGAAAGAAGAAGAAAGAACGAGAAATTATTTTTTGTTAACAAAAACATCAAATAAACCGCCTCTGACACGTGACTCCTGACAGATAAACCAAAGAAATGTTTCTAGATAAAGACATCCTATGCCAATCAAATTGTGGATGTCAAAAATATTAGATCTATAAAATGTGTATAGAAAGAATGTTAGACTCAAGCAAATCCTGACTAGTTGCTGAGAAACGCATCGATACATAGCTAGATGTTAGCATTCCATGTTGAGGCTTCAAAACGATTGTCAAAATCATTTATTTTTTTAAAACTGAAAGTTTTTTGATATGCGGCACAAAAGAGTCCCAACCAACTCTGTAGCTGACATTTCCCAGAAAGAAAAAGAAAACAAACAGCGCCACGGAACATCAGCAGCATCGATCTGTCCAGATGTTGATCTACAAGATGGTTCCAGTCCACAATAGTTAACAAAGAACCTGGATAAGATCGGTTGATTGTGCGGAAAAGTCGGGAAAATACAAAGATTGTATATCGTGAAAAATGAGTTGTGATCAGCTTCAGATATATTCTCTTCAGTTGCACTGACGGCCATGTCTGCTAGACTCAGATATTAACAGCAGAACATTAGTCAAAGGAAACACATGATGACACACACGGGATATTGCTACAAGACGTTTTGTCATGCAATATGGCAGATACCATTCACGATCGGCAAAATCGGCAAACCAAATCCAGGAAAAATGAAATCATTAGGAAAATTTACGTCTTTCATTCTCACAAAACTTCGTACATTTGGATTATCATTTCTTTCAAAACATTTTCTTTTTGTTAACACATCCATGAATGAGAAGGATGTTAATTTGAGTCTCCCAGCATTCTTTTCATCAATAAACTTGAAATTTTATCGGAATGAAAATGGAAAATTTGGTTTGATGGTGGACTATCATAATTGCTAATGACGGTGTCAAGAATGAATAAAATTTAACTTTAAATTTTAACAAAGATTACACTTGCATCTTTGTTTTAATGTCCTTGAAAAGTGAATAAATCTTATGCTGTATTTGATATTGGGATGAAAGTACTATTTTAAATTTCTTTCTTTTCTTTACATTAGTCATTTTGAAAAGTATTTTAATAGGCAAACACTAAGAAGAATGCTGGAATATTGAAGAAACTTGTTATCACTCAATCAGTAGTAAGCTCTCAGTTACTACCGGAATGAATACTCAATGAATGACTGACTGAATAAATAATAATAATAGTAGTAGTAATAATAATAATACTAGTTGTTGTTATTGTTGTTGTTGTTGTTGATGATGATGAGGATGATGATGATGAAAACAACCAGCAGATGAGACAAATATAGATGTAAATACAAATAAGAATTATATTGTTACTGGAGATAATGTCAATATTGAAGTTTATGGCTATTCTATCGGCAAGAGAAATAAGCACCACAACTATTTTATAGAAAATAAGCAGAAAGTAATAATGTTAGCTAGAACAACTATTTATATGACTTTGAGATAAAATTAAGTTCATGACTCAAGCAATCGTTTGGTTATCTCACTCAGCCAAAGTCATTCAAATTCATATATATACAATATAAATGTATATTCATTAGATTTATTCTTATTGTTTCACTTTAAAAATTGAAAGGTGAGCAAAAGTTTAGTCTGTTTATATTTAACTTTTGCAGTTTATCCTTAAACCCAGACTAATTTTAATTTGATATGTACAGCAATCTCTTTGTTCAGAGCACCATCTATAGGTCTTATTGAATATCTTTATTTTCATGACATCTCAATTTCTTTTTACTCGGATTCATTCAGTATTTTGTTTCTGCATCTAAAATTAAAAGAAAATATGAAACCATTCACAGATTTTCCTTAAAGGATTCCGATTTGTCACGTATTGTGGAAAGTAAAGAGAATATGGAAAAAGATTTACCTTGAAGTTGCCGTACGATTCTGTGGAGTCTAACATTCCATTGATGAACTCAAGCGCATTCATGAACGCTTGCCAAGGGACATAATCCTTTTCCTTCTTAAGGTAGGTTGTCATATTCAATGCAATTGGATATCCGAGCAACTGAGCTCTAAAAAGATGTCAACGTAATAAAATTATAATTTATTTTGTAACTTTAGTACAATTTTACTTCTTTATATATTGAATAAATTTATTTTTTCGGTTTTAACGAAATATCGAAATACCAAAATTTCTATTTTATATACATAAAAACTATAAAAAGCAGGCTTTTTCAAGTTTAAATAAAATATATCGTTTCATAAATCTCTGAAGATTAAAAAGTAAAATAAGATTATTATGTTCATTATTCATTGTTCGAACTGTTCTCATTTTTGTTGCCATATTCACGACGGTTCGGCCGTTGTACATCCCGGCCTTCTTCAGGTGCTTGGAATTTTGAACTGAACCCTTTATTTCGTCTATCGGGGTAGATTGTTCTAGTTCCATGTGCCATGCCTTTTCCGGATGTCTCAGTTATCTCCCTTTAACTCGAGCTTTGTTTACCACTGTTCACTACTGTAGTAGCCAGGTATTGAACTCACAACTAATTGAGTCATGTCACTGGATCCAGTCTGCCCAGGTGGACGAAATAAATGCCTTTTGCCAAATAAAACTACAATTATTCATTTTACTTAGTTGTGATTTCGCATGTATTCAGTTCTAAATTGAGAAATTCCATCAATTTTTCTTAGAAGACCAAAAATTAAGACATTAACGTATTCGCGAGAAAGAAAAAACCCCCCAAAAAACTAGCAAGATCACACACGCATACACACAAGCACACAGTTGAACAAAGACAAACCTCGCTAAATTTAGAGCATCATCAATAAGTCCTGCTCGGTTTGCTGGAAGTAAAACCTGAAGTAAAAGGAAAATTCGTGTTACAAATCAGCTTTAAAATAAGAAAAATCCTAGTATTTTTAATTTGTTTAAATATTTATTAGATAGAAACTTATTGATTATTGTCAAGTGATAAAACTAAGTCTATCATGACGGCCGTTTTATAAAATTGTATTTTCACCATTTTTTTTATTAATTTGAATAATGTACAGCCACTTGACAACCTGACGCAATAGCTGATAAATAAAATAATTTTATTCATTTTACATGTATTGATCAAAAGTGAGTGTCCCTTTTTGTAAATGAAAAGAAATAAATTAAATTTATTATATTGACTTTTTAATCGAGTGTTCTGATTATTAATCATTTCGTAACATTGACCTGTTTTTATGAAGTTGTTCTTACATATAGACAGATTATCCGTAAGAGGAAAGGTATATGCAATTTATTAATTTAGTTCAATGAATTTCTTGAATATAATGATAAGAAAATATGAATGCAAAATATGAACAGCACACCTTTTTCAAATATAAATATATTGCAAACATATAACAGCAATTTTTAAGTTAAGAAATCTAAAATATTATTCGTCTTTTTTCTATTAAAGTGCATATGAGCTTTTACATTGGCTCAAAATGAAGAATTCATAGCGAATGATTTTATCAATCTTGCATGCTAATATCCTTTTGATATGAACTCGTTTCTTAGCTTGAGTTCTAATAGCCAACTAAGAGGGAATAAAACTCGCTGTCCATTAAAGTTAATCGAAACAAAAATATGTATTGGTAACGAGAAGCAGCCAGAATTATTATTTAGCCATTAGAGTCGCTCACCGTGTGGTTTTGATGCAGTTGTTCAGTCAGTTGGTCCCACATTTCTACTTCGTAATTCACACGATAGTAACCAGTATGGTCTACATTTCCAAGAATCCATCCACTTTCCGATCGTTTTATCCGATCTAAAATAATTAGATATCAAATTATAGAAGCAATTTTAAATGCATCATTGTAGCTATCAATACACCCGGAAAACCAAATACAACCATAAAAAATAAAGTCAGTTTTTACATTTTTATAATTTGTCAGTCTTTCTACCATTATTCTTGTTTGTATTTCTATTAAAGTATTTCAATAAAATGCAAAATTAAGAGTTGAAAATACGACAGATGAAAAATACATGTGAAAAAAAAAATTAACAAAAGTCAAATTTAGTTTAAAATTCAGTTAAATGTTAATGTGTCGTCACATATCACATGCGAATAGAGGAACTGCCTAAGTACCTATTCTGATCATTAGTGAGTATCTATGTGGATGGTACAACAGTTTGCAGGTGCACCTCCCAAAATCTGGAAAACCAGAACCTAGCATCTCGTCTCTCCTCTGACCTAACCCATGTAGCGCAATGGGGGAAGGATAAGCTTGTAAAATTCAATACAACCAAAACCAAACTAGTGACATTCGACCACTAGGCAGGTGCTGAACATTCACCTATCATGATGGATGAGTTTTTCCCAAGGAGACTCCTTACCTTGAACGTATATAGTAACTCAGGCACTATAAAGGCCTCAAGTGGAACACATATATCTGATCTATTGCTAAAGATGACCAGCATTGGTTGATTGTACCGCTCCAGTAAATATCTGACTCCTCTTGCTATAGTCTATCTTTACAAGATCCAAATTCGACCGTAAAATAGTGTATTACTGTCATGTCTGCTTTGGAGCTGCCCAGTCCTCGCTTGTATTGATAGAATTCAAAAGCATATACGCGGCCTTGTGGGTGATGAATTATTTTATACTCGGCAATTCCTTTCCCACAGACGAAACGTTTCTTGTCTCTCGCTGTTCTATTGATATTTCCATGGCATGCGTCCTGACGAGCTATATTCCTTAGTCCTACCAGCCCAGAACTTTACAACTGAGGCCCGCCATGCCACGTACACCAGGGTGAATCATCCATAATCCCTTCGTATTCCATTAATAAGAAGCAAGTTCCAGTCGGTCAGCTTCTTTCCCAAGAACTGCTGCTTTGCGGAACAGACTTTGGCAGGATGCTTTTCAATCAATATAATCTTGACCTCTTCAAGTCTAGGGTTAACCATTATTTTTCCTGCAGTGTTAATCCTATTTTTCTTAGATTCTAGGATAGTAGTGAAAAATGATAGTAAAAGATAAACAAGAAAATATAAAAGTGAGACAAGCGAATCCTAGTTTTAATTTGACAAACAGGAAACAACGAAAGAGAACCGAAGAAGTGACATAGAAACATTCAGCACAATGGTTTTCAGTCGCCGCTTCGTCACCACGTTAGCTTATCCAGTAGACATTTTATTCCATCTCGATATCCGTTCACTAGAGCCTTGCGTTAATCTACATCCTAGTGATGCTATCTTGCTGCTCAGTTATCCAACATTTTGTCTCTTCATTGCTACGCGTGACTTCTCGCTTCTTCCAACCAGCATCTTTACCGTTCTCCGGCTTACCCTTTGCATCTTTTTGCTATATATAACTTTTAATTCGATTTACTTTCGTTGACATAGTTCCGTTTCTCCCATGGGCCTTGGTGCATTACCCAAAACCCCAAACACCATCCAATTTCTATAAAGTGTTATGGCGACCCTATCTTAAACTGGCACTGCAATAATAACATGCCTTACGTAAATTTATGGAAAATCTAATTATATTGACAAAATAGCTTCAAATGCCGTTTGATAAAGAACAAGGACAAACCCCAATAAAAAAAAAAAAAAACGAAACAAAACCAAAAACTGAACAGTAATCGTATTATTTATTTATTCAGCTGTTGATACTATTGCATACTCATTTTATCAATTCTTTTGAGATGTTTCAGTCACAGAGAGAATAATCCGCAACAGGAGATATTACAGTGTTTTTCTTCTTCTATGTGCCATGTCCTTTCAGGACGTGGGTGATAATGGCTCTCTATAACTTCCTGTCTGTCATGAGTGAGTTTGGTCTTTTTTTCCTATTCCTCATAGTCCCTGTTCTGTCAACACCACGCTCATTATGTAGGTTATTCGCTGTTTTCTTCTGTACCCCTTACATTCAATATATCCTGTGAGTATCAATTTCGCCAAGTTCTCTTTCTTTATTATGTCCCCTAGAAATTTAAATTGTCTCTCAAAGATTCTAAGTATCAATGTCCCTTTTTTCTTAAAATTTCGTCGTTGCTCATATGTTTAGTCCATGGTATTCTCCGCATCCTTCTGTAGAACCACATTTTTGTTACCTCAAGTCTCTTCTTCATCTGTGAGGAGATTGCCAAGCTGCTATATAGAACACCTGACATTACATAATAGTTTAGCACTTGTTTCTAACAGAATTTTCCTGATTCTTAATACTCTACTTAGCTTTTGGAAGGCATCTTTCGCTATTCAATTGCGCTTTCGGATTTTGGTGTCACATTTTCCACCCGCTGTTAAGACATTACCTAGATATTTAAATGTTTGTACTTGATTGATTCTGACATCTTCAATTTGTAATTCACATGTTGGGCTGTTGCTTTTGCTAACAACCATACATTCTCTCTTTATGCAATCGATGTTTAATTCTTTATTTGGGTTTCTTTTACTACCTTCTCCTGGAGTTCCTGGAGTTTCCTTTCTGTGTCTGCTATCAACACTATGTAATCTGCATATATTATGCCGTTAATATTGTAACCGCCAATAATGAATCCTAGTAGTACTTCTAGTTATCTCAGGATCGACACACTGTAAAGTCCAGTGAGAAGACACACCCTTGTCTTACGGCCCTTCCTATTTTTTGTCCCTACTAAATTCATTTTCTATCAGTATGCAGAAAGTTTGCTACCAGTATAACTTATGGATTATACTAATATATTTCCTAAGTACATCAAGCTTACCAAGCAGTTCAAGTAGTTCTTTGCTATGTACTTTATCAAATACTTTTGTATAATCAATAAAATATATTTATATATCCTTCTGCATTTTTTGCAATGCACTTTCTGATATCAAAATAAAAACTAATAAAATTTAAGTATTTTAAGAAAAATGTCAATAAAAATGAATATCATGTTTTACTTACTTTCTTTTTTCTATTTCAACAGAGAATTGAAAGAATTGTTCAGCAATTATAATAAATACTAAAATGTGTTGTTTTGTCAGTTTGCTATATAGTCTAAAGACTACAAACATTGCATTCATTGTTCCTTATCGAAATTGCACTGTTTTCGTCCTATTTCTAGTCTAATCCTTCTGCGTGCTCTATTCATAAGAATTCGGATGATAAGTTTCATTGGGTGGCTCATTAGGCTGATTGTCCAGTGGATATATCATTCGTTCATACTTGGCTTCTTAGGCAGTGCTGCGAAAATGGATCTATCAAGGTCTTCCGGTATATCACCACTATCGTATATTTCATTTATTATTTCTCTAATTTTGTCAATAGCCATTATAATTTAAAAGGCAATGAAGCTATTATTTTATTATTTCAAACTTATTGACGATTCATGTTACAATTTACATGATATTTTTTTATAGCAAACTGACAAAACAACACATTTTAGTATTTATTATAATTGCTGAACAATTCTTTCAATTCTCTGTTGAAATAGAAAAAAGAAAGGTAAGTAAAACATGATATTCATTTTTTATTGACATTTTTCTTCAAATACTTAAATTTTATTAGTTTTTATACAGTAAAAGCTTTATCTAAAAGTTAAACGGATGTTGGTCTGAGGCAGATTTTCACGATTAATACATACTAAAATAAAAATATTCGGTCACTACACACACACACAGACACACACACATACACACTCACATTGTCCATATGGATTTTTAAAAGCCATAAGATTCCAAAATAAAATGGAGCTAGAATCGTTACAAATGAATAGAAGAATTATCAAGAAAGTCTCTTTTACTAATTCTCGAATTAAATTGTAATTGCACAATATTTAAATAGAATACTTATCAAGGATATTTGGAGGTTTATTAATCATTAAGATGTTTAACATTTTCTTGAATTTATAAACGATTGTTGATAACTTGTGATAATTGCCATGATGTGACATTACAAATTTACTGGTTACTTCCTGCTTCAAATCCTTTCTGCCTAAAAGCGTCACATGATTGTGCTAAGTCGTCAGTCGCTGAATTTCAAGCTGTCCACACGTGATCTCTATTACACTACAAAATGTACACACTTTCTATATACACTCTTACGTGTGTAACTATTCTAATACTAACAAAATACTAGCTCAATAAAACTGTCTTATTCTGTCAGAGTATTTCGCTTAAAATGAAATATACGTCAAACAACGCCAGAACTAAAATATATCGAGGATTTTATTGGAGATGGAGTGACCATCTTTTCTTTTAGTAAATAAATTCCTTTTTCAATTTATTCTTTATATATATATATATATATATATATATATATATATATATATATATATATATATATATATATATATTATAAATTAATTGATTTAAAATATGTTTTTCGCTACACAGTTCTAACCATGTTTCAAAAATGGAAGCTAAAAGCTTCGAATTTAATTTTGTAATTAAATTAAAGACATTAGTTCAATTTCATCCTCAAGCGAATTTTGGAGTAACTTATTTAAAAAATTACTGGGTTTTAAGGCACAGCAAAAAATCATAATTCACATTTCCAAGGATACAGAGAAATCCATTCATCCAGACAAGGGGTGGTTGCGTGTTCACTATCGCTGTATTTTGTTGTATCTGTTATTAGTTATGTTTTAGTAGGGGTAGGGATGTATTTTTCAATGAATTCTGACATCCGTCAAATGCATGTCGTCTGGATTTTTAAAAAAAAATTATTGTTAACGGCAAAAAATCTTACGGCATTTTTTTCTATTTGTATACTTAAAGATTTTTGGGGGGTGTTTACGTTTATTTAACTACGATTTTTAAAATATTTTCACTTTTAATTTTTAATATACGATATTTCTTTTTAAAAACGAAAAATCTATTCGCAGCCAAGAAGACAACAATGTATGTGTTGACGCCCTTAGATCGGAGTCATTTCAAATAAATTCTCACCTGTATCGGTGTTTAACCATTGTAATTTCGTATCCAGTGGATTCGACTGAAAACAGTAGACAAAAGGAATATGCCATTTGTACCTGAAAATATAATTTATATGCATACCAATAAACAAGTAGTATTCATACAAAATTTTCACTCATTTTATCATGAGCTTAGATATTTTGCATGTAACGAGAGTTTGAGGAAACATTAACATTGATCAAATGCTTTTTTGTCATTTAAATACTGCAGTACCAATGGAAACTTACATTTGGTATAAAACCCAGTGTTTCGCCACAGAATTACATTGAATCAATCAAAATGTAGTGAACAATTAAAAAATACACATATTCAAACCAGTAAATTTTGTTATAATTTTGAAGTACAGAAAGATTTTCAATTTTTCACATCAATAAGAATTGGTGTTGGGACATGTTTTTATCAAGTTCAGTGCATGTAGGTTATATAAATTCATTGGACTTATCCATTAAATATGAAAAGAAACACAAAATATTATATTGCGTTTGCGTTTCTTTTTAAAGTATTAAAAGTCGTTGGGAGCCATTTGTCAGTAACTATTTTGGCTTGTTAAATATATAAAAAGTCGAGTTACCATCAAAAAGCTTCCTTTCACTTTTCACTGTGAAAGAGAGAATTTAGATTTTGAAATGCCAGTTTTTTTGGTTTTTTTTTTGCTGACGATGAAGTTTTGTGTATTCACTGCGTACACTAGTTAAGCATTTTTTTTATCCCAAAAAGGATAAAAATTATTAGTCACGCGCATTAATAACCTTGAACTTTGTATATTTGATTGTGCTTGGAACAAAGACTTTTATGTTTTCTACTAAGAAAATTTCACTATTGCAATAATGATCCTTTAAAGTAACTGGTAAATTTCTACTGAAGATAAGTTTTACTAAAAGCTTCATAGTATATTTTTCCTTAATTTTCTCTTGTGATATTCTCTCACATATTACTCTTTAGAATATTGCTTGTTATTAAATACTACATCCATTAAATTTAATATTATCAGTGCTTTTATTCTTTTATCATATGACTTCGTTTAAATTCTTAATTTTTTAGTTGTAGTCGTTGGAGTCAGTAATTCGTAATGGTGAAGTGTTATATTTAATAATTTTCTTAGTATTATTTCTCGGTTCTCTAGAAGTTGAGATCAGATATTGAACTTTTTGTAACCTTCTGTTACGAAAAATAACCTAAAGGTGAGGCGAATACGTTTGAAAACTATTCCGCGATGATAGAGAGAGAGAGAGAGAGAGAGAGAGAGAGAGAGAGAGAGAGAGAGTGAGAGAGAGAAAGAGAGAGTTGCAATACACAGAAATATGGAATGACCGGAAATATTAGTCTGAAATATGATCGACAGTGGAAAAGATGAACAGGAATAAAGAAGTAGGACGAGATGGGATCGTAATAGAAATGCTTTAAGCCTTAGTCGATTTCTAGATCAACAAGGTAAACATAATTATAAATACAACTAGATCCATCTTGGAAGTGCTATCTAAGAAACCAGGCGTAAGCGAACGCATGCTCAGTCGGATAACCAGCTTAATGAGCCACATGACCAAACTAATAATCCTAATTCCGATGAATAGCGTGCGAAGCATAATTAGACTATAAATAGAACAAGTGCTGTGTGGTTTTGTCAAGCACACAGGAACAAGAAATGTTCTATTAACAGAATTATATCAGAATGCAGAATGCAGAATGATGTACATTTATGTATTAAAGATTACGCAAAAGCATTTGATGAGGTAAATAACAGAGATCTGTTAGAACTATCAGGAAAACTAGATCTATTTCGGAAGGATGTTAGAATAATTCAGAATTTATACTAGGAGAAAACAGTGTGAATACTGATCGAAAATGAATTGAGTAGGTACACAAAAATAGAAAGAAGCATAAAACAAGGATGTGTTTTTTTTCCAGCAGATTTATTCAAACTCTATAACGAAGCTACCCTAAAGGAGCTTAGACCCTTTCAACGGGCGCAATCTTAACAATATAAGATACGTAGACGATGCACGGACATAGAAGGAAAACTACATGACTTTTTAGATAAGGTGCTAAAAGAAATTGAGAAGAAAGTAGTAACCATCAATTGTTAGAAGACAATATACGAATTTGAGATGTCTAAATCAAATAAGTACAAAAGTCTAACTGGGAAGTATTTTAACAGAGGTGGAAAATGTGACACTGAAATCCGAATGCGTATTGGAATAGCAAATGATGCGTTCCAAAAACTAAGAAACAGCAAGATTTCGTTAGAAACAAAGAAAAGAGTGCTAAACTACTATGTAATATCAATCCCTCTATAAAGCAGTGAATGCTGAACAATTGCCTAACATATGAAGAGAAGATCCAGCCAATAAAAATTTCGTTCTATAGACTGACGGAGCGCATAAGCAACGAAGAAGTCTTAGGGTAAATGGAAACAAAAAGGACACTTACACCCAAAATCAGGAAGAGATTTCTTGGGTACATAATCTCAAGGAGGACTTAGAGAAATTGATACTCACAAGACATATCGAAGGCAGCAGGTCAGTTACTTGGATAGCGGAACGTTTGTGAAAATGATAGTAAAAAGAAAAACGTTACTAAAAGCTACAAAAGATAAGAAGTTGTAGAGAGCCATTACCATTCACGTTCTGAATGAACACAGCACATAGAAGAAAAAAGATGTTACTTTATTTAACCTATAGCGTCCATCGACACATTATACCTTCTTACGCAGAAGAACCATACCCGTGATTAATTAATATCATCAATTTTAAGTAAATGATATTCATAAATTAACAATGATTATGTAAATCTTCTTTAATTTAAAACAGCTGTTAATATTAAATATGAAACACAATTGAAATATTAAACCCATGTTTTTAAAAATGTGAACACGTGATATCTTAGAACAAACTTGGCATGAATATGCGTACAAATGAAAGGCTGTACTGAATGGTGAAAATTTAGACTTGTAAAAATATTCAGCTCGTCTACAAAACGAAAAGGAAAGGAAGAAAGCAGATGAAGTGTAAATTTAACATTTTTATATTCCAGAAATTGTTAAGGTGCTTCACAATTTTTTTTCTTTCTTCTTAGGAATACAGTTTCATACAACAGGAAAAAATATTGACTAATATTTATTACTGACTCCTTTTAATAGTTAGACTGTGTTACCTCCGACTGTTCACTGTACGTTTTCCTTTTATTTTCACCTGGCACACGAACGTAGTAGCAGACACAAAATGACCGCTAATATTTAACAGAAAAAATGTTCGGTTTTATTTGAAAATGTGTTACTTGAAGAGTATAACATTTCTGATAACTTAATAACTATATATGCTGAATATCTGAAACTTTGTAGGTTAACAATTTCACATATATTTTAAATCCTGTGTAATTTTAAAAGTCTTTTTCCATACATTATAAGTTAATTAAATTTTAATTTGTATACTAACGTATACACTCAGTACAAATATTGTATCTCATTAATAATTGCCATTAATTTTTAAAAATTTTATTTGAAACTGATTAATAGAATGTTTTCTAATAATGTGTCCGTTATAATTTAAATCTGTAGAATTTGTTCATTTTACCAAGTTTTAATTTATATAGATTTCAAAATTTTTCCTTCACGAACACGATAGACGATAAAGCATTTTGCTTAACTTTTAGCCAAAAATAAATTGTAGTAAGATTTTCCTGAATATTTCGTGTTATTCTGTAGGAATTAATTATTTCAGTCTGTGAACTGACTATTAGTGAACATCGAATATGAACGACAAATACTGATCTTATAAGAGAAATGGTAAGATGTATTAACTGAACATATGAGTATTTACAATATGTCAGATTATTATATGTAAGTCAATGATAAAATTGATATTAATTGATGTTATCAAAATTTTCGGTATATAATAAATATACTAAGGAAATTTCAGCTTATAATATGTTTTTATTAGAAATATTTCCAATAACTTATTTGGTATTGTGAGATTTCCATTATATGACTCAAATTTTGTCCATATTCTAAATAAATATATATAACAGTGAACTTTTTAATTTCAGATATATGAAGATTGCCATGTGTCATAAGAAAGATATTACTTCAAAAGAGAAACGATATATTGTAAAGATATTTAGAGTGATAGGATGTGAAGGTATGATAATGTAAAAACTGATTTCACAGAACAATAAAAATGTAATTTGGTAAAAAAAGAAAAATGGCTTCATTCAAAAATAAAATTGAGAGAAATTAAATGGGTAATAAGCCACAAAAGTGAATTGATCAGCCAGAAAATATTTTAAAAAGCTGCTGTTACGAATGTAAACTCAGAGAAAAGATCTAGAATACTGAGAACATTTCTTATTTTCCTGTTATTAGCCAAACTACTTTAAAGACCTTTAAGTAAACATCCCAAAGAGATAACTGTAAGTTGGATCAAGAAATATACGAAGAATGATTTCTCAACAGTAATTTTCAGTGACCAATGTAGGGCTAAGTTGGTCTTAATGGTTGGGATTCGAATTAACAGCTAGAAATCTGACCAATTTTCATCCATTTTGTTTTGAAGAAACGATTCCGAAAAGAAGCGCCTTTTCCGAGAGAAATATAATATGTTCATTGCAAACTTAAATTTGGTGAAAGTTTAAATTTGGATTACCCTTTGAATAACCTGGCTCTTCTAAGTGCCAAAATTTTACGATAAATCCCGGTACGTATGTACTACTTCAAAAAGTAATTTGAGTTGTTCGTTAGAACCTATCTTTTTTAATATCCTAAATAGAACGACAATTTGGGTCTAAAAAAAACAAAATAATTTTATTTCTACGCTGATTGTTCTGTTTTGATGTGGGTTTCAAAGAGCAGTTTTACTTTCAGATTTTCTTTCTTCCAAAGTAAATATGCTATGTATCTAGAGATTCTTGACCCCCCAAAAAAAAAATGCAATGTTATCGGTTATGACCTGGAATCTCGGTTTCAGTTACTCCCTCCCTCCAACCGTAACGTAGCTTCTCTGTTACTTTTCTGTAAATATTTTCATGGCAATTGTTCTGATGAGTTTTCCGCTTTCCTCTATTGTAACTTGACTCCATGAATTTAAGCATAGTAATAGATTGGTAACTAGGCCTCATTATTTTATTGTTGAAATTACTAAATGTGAGCGTAAGTTCTATGTCTCTCACCTGGCTTATTGCTTTTCTATCAACTACGATCTTTAAACATTTAAATGCAACGTCAGTCGTCATCTTATATCTCCTTAAATCTTGGATTTTTAATACCCTTTTTCTTCTTAATGTTTTCTTACTTTCTTACATTATCCGTACGTCTTCATGACTTTATCGCCTTACTTGGGCTGTAAGTATTAATAAAAATATAAAGTACAAATTACCTATATTTGTTACTGGTCAGAGATTTTTTTCGGCATACATTTGTGCAATTATTCATTTCTCTCTCTCTCTCTTTGTATTTTTTTTAAATGCGTGTCCAACTTGAATTTTGTAAAATATATTTTTTCTTTCAAAACAACGAGCCATTTGTCTTTTGCCTTTACATGATTTTTTTCAATTTTTCTCTCACTGTTACCTCCATGTTTGAACGGGGTTGCACCGAATAATCAATCGTAAAGGTATTTCCGCAAAACACTTTTATTACACATTCTGTAAAATAGATTAAAACACATGTTGCTAAAAAGAGTTCAAAGACACCAAATTAATGGAGTAACTTCCAGCATCTTCCGGTATTAATTCTATAGAAACCTTATTGTCTTTTATTAAAAAGGTGACGGCCTTAAAAGAGAATGGAAAATAATCAAGCAAAGATGATCTCTGGGAAGTAATAAAACTGCTGTAAGTAATGTGTTATGTAGCAATAAAGTGTCACTGCCGACACTGTAGTTTGAACATAGATCGCCAGTGAGCAAACACAGGCGATCCCATTATTGAATTAAAAAGATCACATGACCGCAAAGGAAACGCATAAATGGGAATTAGCTTGGCGTCTAATTGATCGCTATTTCTATTCTATCCTCTATTACTATTCGGTGGTTACTTTTCGAGCGAGTATTATCGAGTAAGTACTATTAGTTTGAGTGATATTCGAAGGTGTCTGACACCAGCATTGTTCAGTGGCGTTACTATAGTTGTATCTGCGATTACAAAGTCTCTACTACAACGAGCATTACGAAAGTGACAACGCGTATTTGTTTACGTTACAAAAGTGGCAACGAGTGTTCGTTGACATCACAAAATAATGTTAAAGTTAAAACAGTAAACATATTGACAAAAGCAATGGACATAAGTCTGGTGTAGGTCAAATAATGAAATGATAATTTACTCAGGTAAATATTATATTGTATTAATCAAATAAGTTTATATGGTGTCTATTTTTTTATATATAATGTTATACTTCGTTTGCATAATAAAATCTAACTCCAACAGGAAATTTATTAACAATATTGTTAAAAAAGATAAATAAGTTGAAATTCACACGATATACAGCTCATAGATATATCCATAAAATTCTATCAACATCAGTTTAATGGCAGTTGTATTGTGAAAACTGACTTGCATCGGAAAATCCGACATCGTGAAGTTGAAGAGAAAATGTAAAATCACATTTATTATCAACTTAATTATATTGAAATAAAGCTATGTTTTCCCTTGATGGCAATGTCATATTTAGAACTCGAATATTTGCTTTTATCTATTGTCCGTATGTTTCAATATTCCTTATCATGATCAAGGTACGTGGTCTGTTCAAGATCTTTTAGTCCATTAAAACGTCTTCAGTATTTACAATGAAGTCAACATTTTTACAAGAACTAATTCCTGTATAAACAGATTAATTAGAATAAAGGTTGTTTTATTTTGACTGCATCGAAGAGGAAGAAAATACGATTTCTATAGAGAACGTAATAAACTTACATTCTTATTAAAATGCACAATCGTACGCACACACATACACACACGCATTTACTGATATCAGGCATAAGATAAAATTTCAGTAACATACTGGAATGGAGATTCGGAGGCATTGTAGGTACCACCTGGAATAAGTAAGAAACGAGATTGTGCAATTTGGTAGTAGTCGCCTTGATTGGTAACATTAATCACTGGGTAGCCCATCTGGAGAGACCAGGTGTCCATAATATCCTTGATTTTTAGCGGTCCATTGATAGTCTGTGAATAAAACATGAAACCTATAGGCATCGCGTGAAATAGTACATAAATGACATGAATAGAGGCACATCAATTTTTGTAGATAATATTGTAATATTATATATTAAAGACACGTGAAAAATTCACGTACGTAAAAAAACCTACATGTATATACATACAGGGTGCGATCGGTAAATTGTGGCCATTTCAATTTTTAATTTTGCGCATGTTTCTTTTTGATTTTGTCGGCTGCACAGTATGGTGGGGGTCAGTTGGGCACCCTCTGTGAGAAAAGGAGCAGTATGAAACAATTCACTCAGCCAGAAATTTGGAAACGGCATGTTGAACTGGTTAGCATTCGCGCCGGAAGCTCCAATACGAACCTTTCAGTGCGTTTGGAATGTCAATCTGATGCAGAGGATTCGAAAGGAGTTGGATGAGTTTAATGATGATTACGAAGATGTTTGGATTGATCACAAATGATGGCGACGTTATGCTTCATTCACCTTCCCACAAGATGGAGGGTACATCAAGTGGTTTGAAGAGGTAGTGTTGTCCTGGGTCATGAGAGTAGCTACTGGAAGAAGGTCTGTCTGGCAACAGGTCTCTGCATCATGCCATACAAGCAGGAGAACCCAGTTATAGATGTCAGACAATTTCTGCAACCAGATCACCCCTTACATCTGGTCACCTAACACCCCAGACTGCAACCCCTTGATTATTATGTGGAGCAGTTGAGCGAGAGATCAACATATCTCCTTGCAACATCAAAGATGAACTGAAAGCAAGGACTATGGCAGCATTCACAACAAGGAGACCGTCCAGAAAAGTTGCAGGAGATTTCGAAGTCATCTGGTTGAAGCCAATGGCAATTTTATTGAATAAATTTATTCTTTAGTATTTACAGATATTTTTGTGTAATTTTAGTAAATATATCTGTTAAAATGAGATGTCAGTGTTATTTTATTTTTTGCGTAATTTAGAAGACAATTTATCCATAGCATTCTGTATATACATTAATTTTCCGTCTAATTACATACCTACATTTTCACACACAAATATATATATATATATATATATATATATATATATATATATATATATATATATATATATATATATAATTGAGAGAAGCAAAAATAATGACGTAATAATGTCGTTTTGTGACGTATTTTTTAACGTCAAAAACGACATTATTACGTCATTATTTTTGCAAGATGAAATCAACCTAATATATATATATAAAAGATAGGAAAAATATTTTAAAAGAATATTTATACGCGTATTTAACAGAAAAATATGATTGATTAAAACCAGCCGTAATCTCAAAGACTGCCTCAGATTCAACTGCATCAACGGGTCATGTGCTTCTCGTGCATGTTGGTCCCCACATCCAAGATGATGGCCTTATATTAAAGTCCTTGGTATTTTGGAGGCCATTGGTTGATCAATGTCTCGACGACTTCCCAGATATCATAGCGATAGATTGTGTTGTTATTGGAGCGACGTGTGATACTAATCAAACCAGCCTTTGAAAGGCATGCGAAAATCACCCTAAACACCGGTGTCTATGATTTCTGCATCAAAGGTGTCGAATCTGAATAGTTTGCTGCCAAGGTAAACAAGTTTCAACAACTTCCAAATTTTACCCTTGATGTAGATTGATGACTACTGTCTTTTTAAGATTGTAAGTCAAAATCCATCACAAGTTACAAAGAAGTCCACCAGGAGCTGAAGATCTTTCTCTTTGCGCATAACAATTTTACAGTCGTTAGTACAGATGACGTCACGAATCAGAAATATTAAATTTTAGAAGCAGTAAGAAATCCGCAAATGCTGAAAAGATTTGCAGATGTTTTGTAACGGATATAAATACCAAGATCACTTTCAACAAAAACTCCGTGTAAAACTCATGCAAACAACATTGCGAAAAGTATAGGTGCTAAAAGTTTTTCTTGCTTCACATTAGTTTTAACTGAGATAGGATATAACACTTCTTCAATGACACATACCCATATCTTCATATCGTCATGTAAAGAACTAATTAACTCTCTGGATTTCACTGGACCGACTAACTTCCGAAGTATATTCCATAGTTTTGATGATACAAACGAAACACTGGTTGTTCATACTACTTTTTCTGAACCGGCCTAAAAGTAAAGATCATATCTGTTGTATATTTGGTGCCACGTATTTTCAGCAGTCGATAAGAACTAATAAGATCTTGTAATTATTTTTCCAACAACTGACAAAAGAGAGACCCAATGAAAGTCGTCACAGATATCCTCAAACAGAGGTGCTTCACCTACCATCCATATTCCTTGGAAAGAAAGTTGTTTTAAAATCTTTTTACCACCTTGCTGTACCAGTTCAGCAACAATGCTATCTTTCCTACAAGCTTCCCCAGTGTTTATCAAGCTTACTGCAATCTCAACCTAAGAGTAAGTGAAATATAGGGTTCATGGATGACACTAGCTTCTAGTCCTGCGATCACATATCGATATGCAACCAGTCGACACTTAAGAATTTCAGAAAACTGCAAGATGACAGGAACATTTGTCTTATTCTTTTTAGGCCACAGTGGCCATGGATGGTGTGTAAATATTTGCGTCTCGTTTTTCAATACAAGATAAAATTTGTTAGGCTTTTCCACACCACCAACTGTTTTTCGCCGCACATAGCTCTCGCTGGACCTGGGTTTTACAATCTTCTAAAACTTTCACTAACTTTTTATGTCCCTTTCCGGACACTGGACAAGAAAGAATCTTGTCCAGTATGGTTTTATTTTCCGTCAGAAGGCTTGTAACCAGCTATTCCTTCTCTTTGAACCAATATTCACGTTTACTCCCTACATAACTCAGTGTAGAAGCAGTAGCCTTAAAGAGTTCTTTACTAAAGTTTGTGTACGGGTCTTCACAGCTGGAGGTTCTATTGTCTACACAGTTTAAGATACGTCTATTCTTTATCTTTCTACCATCGAATTTCACCTTCCGGTCGATACTAACATATAATATAACTCGTAATCATTCCAGCACAAATACAACCGACAGATTGTGCCGCACTAGAACATAGTCCGAGATGTGCCAGTGACTTGAGCGGAAAGTGTCTCCATGTCGCCTTGTACTTGTCTTTTTGTCACAGCCCCTAATTCTTGACATAAGTAAAGCAAGGTTTCACAATTTTTATTACATTTACTCATTCCATGGTAACCTATACAATTGCAAGTGTCAGAATCACCTCCTATATGAACAGTAAAATTCCCCATAATTACCAGGTTGTCATCTGTATCTATATTTTGCAAAACTATTCTGACATTGGCATAGAAGTTGTCAAATTTTGTCCTGGGGACGTACGAAAGTATAAACACTTATCACAGCCATAAATTGTTTTTTTTACTGAAGTTGTAAACGAAGTGACATTATCCGATCAGTAAATCCACGTGGCAATTCTGAGAAACATTTCACTAGATGCGTTCTTATGGCAAAGCCTATTCGTCGCTTGTCGTTCAATTGATGGCTTCCTTTTGTAAAATATTGTATATCCAGAATCCTTCTGTTAACCGCTCATCAATAAAAAGTCGTGTTTCTGAGGACAATATTGACATCATACCAAGACAGTTCTTTGCATTCAAGAGCAGAAAGTTCATGGTTTGATTTAAAAATAACTTGATCACATATATTTCGTTCGCAAAAGTGAAGAACCGATGGCCTGTTTGATATTTGTCATACTTTGTTCACATCGCAGTTTCTAGGTCATTTCTGCTAGCAGTGCTGACTCCGAAGAGGGTTGCTCAGACACTTGGAGGGCTGTCGAATCTCCTCATTTATATCTCTATTATATATAGAGATTTTATATTTTCGTTATTCAAATGTATTCGTTCATGCATATTCTATTCTGTATCTGTACGAATAGACAACACAGACGCCTTGTTCTATTCTGTGGATATAAGAAGTCACAGTGTAGAATTAAGTTGTACATGCAAAACAGTCTGAAGGTAAAACTCGATAGGAACACTAGAAGAAAAGGAAAACTACACCTTGACATTTTATATTAAAATAGTTGAAAATTAAAAGCGTTTATTCTGTACTTTTATATTAATACAAGAATATTTGGGTGTTTATTTGTGAGCAAACAAAAACGTTTTTTACTAAAGCATTTTAAAATCTGCCGGAAAATGTTTAATATGCAATCACACATTCTGCGCATAGTTTTTATAACAAACCTAAGAAGGTATTACACATACATATACATTTGTATATTCTATAAACTTAAGACCGATGATAGAGGATCATAAACAAAAGTCCATGTTGACCATATGCTATGACTCACATCATTATGCACATTGTTGTACAAATGGGAATGATAAAAATTCACGATTGAAGCGAAAAATTCATTAGATGAAACAGTTACTTTATTCCCTTGCAAATACACAATAAGCAATGATTAAAAATTGATAAACAAATTATTGTTACATTTATGTGTACCTAATAAATTATTACTGTTTTTTCTTGTATAGTCGACTCTCCAGTCGAAATTCGACGTATGAGGGTCAAGCAGATCAGTTTCCAGGAAACTGACAGCCCGACACCGGCACATGAGATTTGATTATAGTGGTGAAGGTTCCACACTTTTTGAAGGACCGAATACAGAGACCTGGTGCACCGAGTACCACAAGGTTCCCAAATGACCCTCCGCAGATTTTGAATTCAGAGTTGTCTTTCTCCATCCAAGGCTATAGAACACAGTCTGTCCTGCTATTTTACCCATAGCTGGAGGGGGAGGAAGAGGATTCATACCTTTCCCAAGGGTATTAGCACGTAAGTGAATGTAATGGATTCGACTGGAATTCGAGCTCTGCGATTTCTCAATCCAAGCCGCTATCCATTACTCCACCGTGCCTCCTTAAAAAGAATTTCTTATATATATATATATATATATATATATATATATATATATATATATATATATATATATATATATATATATATATATATATATGATTTATAGGTTAGTCAACAATGCATAAGATTTTGAACATATGTTCTCGTGATTAAGCTTAATGTATTTGTACTGTAAAGAAGCTTGCTAATTATAAATTAATTATTTGAGCAATTATTAAAGACTAGAAATACATGTGAAAATTTCACGGTTTTCCTATTTGAATTTTCTGATGAATCTTAATTCTTAAGTTAATGATTGAATAAGAAACTCCACTATGGCATCGTCAAATATTTGAGCTTAACAACTCTAACAAAATATTGCAATAACAATTATAAATATGAATGCTGGTTGTTATTTTAAGAAGTAAGGGGATGTAGAAGAAAAGATTTGAAATTAACTACTTTTCCATTTCACTGAAACAGACATTAAACACATGAGAATGTTCTCCTTTCTTTTCTTTTTCTCACTGAAACCAAGTAGCGTCTCTGATATATCTTTTCCGCCTTTCCACGTGATCAAAACGGAATAGTCCATTTTTATGAGGTATTGGCGTACGTGCTAACTGAGGGAGGGACAAGCAGAATTCTAATAATATGGTCGCGTGATAAGAGAATCAACCAAATGAAGTTTTCTGGCAATGCATGCTATATGGTATAGCATGGTAAACAGTATGGTCGTTGATACAATTATTTTTGCTATATAATAGGATCATCAGTAAATAAGTTTTTCACCATTTTTCCACGCTTTTAGTACTGATAGTTTACATTACAGAACATAACACGGCACCATGAATATAACAAGTATAATTACTTACTTCAGTGTAAACCTGCCACAGTTCGTCCATTTGGGCGTTGTCAAATTGGTATTTCTTTATATAATTCTGAAGTAGATATCAATTAGATTAATGAATAATGTAAACATAATATGCACACACACATACACACACATACGCACACACACATACGCACGCGGACAAGTATAAACATATATATATTAGGAAATAATATTTTGTTTTGGCATGTTTTATTGAATAGAATAGACAACGAACGTCTGCTAAGCCTTTGGGTGAGTTTCTGGTATCAAATAAGTCGTTTGATGTCAGGTAGCAACTTGTAAAGGAACTTATCGAAATTATGTGTACCATTTCGAATACTTTCGACGCTCATTGGCTTTCTTCAAGGAAGGAACGTAGAGGCATTTTGTTCATAACGGTTTGGGGTTTGAAATGAACGTGGGGCTCACATGCTATAGCAGTGGAATATATTTTAGCATCACGTCTCTAAAACAAAACTTACATTTCAGCACACGAAAACCTAGATTAAGACAATGTCCTCTTTGATGTTAGATTGACGTCCTATGATGTAAAGGGCCTAAAAATGTTTTTTGTAGTTAGATTGGCATAGTACGACTGCATTGTCAACTAAAATCAGGAATTTGAAGGGGTGTCAAGGATTTGCATTAAATATATATCACTTTGCTCAGAAAGATGACAAATCAACATTCTAGAGTGAAACATTGTCGTATGGCCAATATATGCTGATATACAACATTGGTATTGTTAATAGTAATGGTAGTATTAGCCGTTTACTTATGTGGAAATATTCAGTACTCATTGACTTAGCAGTTAATGTTACTGTCAGTAGAAAATTAGAAAACTTTTCTATTGAAATAATTTTTCAGAAAAATAGGTTTTTCAATCCCTAACTGTTATCACTCTTTCAGTAGTGATAGGGTCATCCTTCCTAACATTTTGTTTACTTTTGTTCATCAGGGGTTATTCAAGGTAGAGGGTGAAGTGCATATTATGAGATTATTTAGGATAGATATCCGCTTTACCCTGGACTTGAATAAGTTAAGATTGTGAAGAGAGTATCCTCTTGGGAGCATGTTTTACAAAGCAAAAGTTCGGAGGAAGACGTGTCTAAGTGGAACTTACCAAAGGAACGCGAAGAGAATGGGGATGATTTGCCACCGTGAACATGGCATGTCGGGTCCGGGCTGTGAAGGCCTGAGCTGGTAGAATTAATTATAACTCGTTTCAACATTTGCTATAGTAATAGTGACAGAGTAACGAGAAGTTAGCATCAAGGTTTTGAACTCTGTCGATGCCAGGCAATGAGGACCAGTCAATATATGACAGCAATACTCCATTCTTAGCATGATCTGACTCTTGAACAGGTAGAACATAGTAGCGGGAGTAAAAGTGATACAAAGAACCGACCATTCTTTCCGCACCTTTAGCGTTGACACTAATTCCATCTGGAGTACCAATAGGCGTTCAAAGCAAAGAGTTCGAGGGTATGACCGCTCATCAGGAATGGGGCAGATTTAGTGTCTGCAGGTTGATAAAACGTTTCTGGCTTTGTTTTGGAGGTATTGAATGATACAAGACAGACCTTCCCCCATTGAGCTGTGAGATCAGATACCAGTCATTGGGCATCCATATATTTGGAGATACACTCATACACCGTTATTTGATCTGCATATATATTTACTAAGGATCTGAGGCAGATCGTTAAAATGAAATAGAAAGAAAGTAGGTTTAAAGAGAGTACCTTGGTGTGATACCATTTGTTTTTGGCGCGGTAGAACATGGGAAAGCTTTCTTATGGATAGAAGGGGCGATATACTGAAAAACTTTGGAACAAGGTGGGTTAATACATAAAATTCGTGGGAAGGATTGACGATTTAATTCACATATAGGCGACATCTGGAATTGGCGTGTCAAGGGTTTGAACAATGGAAAATGACCCAGACTTAGAGAGCAATGATGATTGACATGTGTTCTACGTAGCTGAAAATGCAAGCTGTAAAGCGGAAACTTCATTTTCATAAACAACGAATTTGGAGTTGATCTCTCCAGGTCGAAAGCTAAGTTGAAATACCAGTAGGTTTGGATGAGCCACCCACACCCACTGAGCAGGTTTGGTGAGAGGTAATAATAAGAGAGAGGGGAAGAATGGAATTCCCCAGAATTATGAAGTAAGCTGACAACAAAGGGGATTTACCGAAATCCCCTTATACGCCGTATCCCGCGCCAGTTTGATCGAATATAATTCGTCAGACTGAAACTGAGACGAGACGGAGACAGGTGAGAGACAGCAAAGAGTTCGTTCCAGCCACTGATCATGATATACCCAATGTGATTGCCTGTCGAAGAGAATCCCACTCCAACTTCAGTCTTGTGCCGAACTTTACTAAAACAGCAACCCAAACTTTACCAACAAAATCACAACAATATCACTATAGACGCGGGTTGTGCTGATTATTAATTGCATGCGAACTTTGATATAACCAATTATTGTATGAAGAACTGATATAAAAACAGTATTTACTTTTTGATCAATTTATTCGAGTTTTCCCTGTACGTCTTCGCCCTGCTTGGACCGGTTCAACAGGAACATACCTGCGGCGATTCGATCGTGGCCTCCTTATGATTAAACTTAAATAACAACGTGGGATAGGGCAGCTCTGAGATCGAAGCGATCTTCATCGATTAACCGCGGTGTTGGACGTTTTGGACAACTAGGTGGGCGTTGTACGATTACATTTGGTTGCTGTGACCAAGGATCGAACCTGAGGACCACATTTGGTCGTTGCGAGCCGGGATCGACTCTGAAAGACTACAGAAAGGAAGAAGACAAGAAAAGGACTGAAAACCGTATTTTTTTCTCTTGATAAATTGATAGCGACTCAGGAACAAGTGACAACAAGTGACAGGTAAAACACTTTTCGGTTTTTCCCTGAAATTTCTCGATTTTTTTGTTGTTGCGTCTCGCCAGGACGATTTGCTATTTTTTTTCGATTTTTCTCGATTTGAGTTGATTTATTTAACATGAGTGACCACGGGTCAGAGAGGCTTGAAGTGTTAGATATCGAGGATGGGTTTTTTTTTTTATTTTGTACGATTCTTTCAAATAGGAAACGTTTATAAATTTAACAAGTTTTGATTCTATTTAAGTTTCATTAAAAAGAGAAAAGAAAATTCTGTTACTTTTATTTTTTGTGTTGTTTGATTTTCATTGGTTAAGCAGGTCTCACGTGTATCTGTCCTGTCAAGCACCGTTCGTAAGTATAATTAATGTATCTATATGTGTCATAATTCTTTGTTTATGCGAGATTCGGATGATAATGTGTATTCGTTTGCGTGCGTGCGTGTGTGCGTTTGAGCGTCTAGTAGGCATTTTCCTCTATGTTTGATATGGGGAAATTTGGTTGATTTGGAAAAACTTTGTGTGAGAATGAATAAATTTACGCTTCACCAGTTGTGATTTTAGGTAGACATATCTTAGAATATTTAAGTGTGGATTTGGTAAAATTGGTGGTATAATGAATTGTGTTTGATGACAAAGTATTTATCAGAACTCCCTCTAAGTATTTCCTACGTAAATAATTATGTTCTTTTCTAATTAGGATGGCATTTATAAAATCGAAGTAATGTCCTATTTTGTTTCTTTGTGCCACGAGCGAGTTTAAAACGTTGTCCCAAAGTAGGTCTCTTTTATATGCGGGCTTTTAGATTTCTAGATGTTTCGCCAATGTAGCTCTTCATACATTGCTGATAGTTCATGTAATAAATCCCGGCATCTGAGGTGGTGTTGGATCTATTTTATAGGAGGTCGTGCTAAAGACTTTAGTATTGGGGATAACTAACTGGTTTTCAAATTTTGTTGATAGAATGTTGGAGGGTAGGATTATAAATTTTATGTGTTTGTTGTTGGAAATACCTATGTTGTCGGTGTGGGGGGGGTGCCTACTTTTTTGGACTTGTGGATTTGTATGTTTGTTTTCTAGCGTTTTGGATTAAATGATGTGATAGTGAAAAAGTTTAAACTTTTTTACAATGTATTTCTTTTTCTGATCTAGATATTCTAGGCTACATATTCTAAGAGCTCTGAGGTAAAAACCTATGATTAGTTATGATATTATTTTGAGGATGTGGTGGAAATAGGAATTGATTAAATCCTTTTTGCTTGTGGGCTTGCGGTAAACTTTAAAATTTAATTTGTTACAGTTTCGTTTTAAATGGATATCGAGGAAAGGTAAAGATTTGTCTATTTAATGTTCATGTGTGAATTCGATGGTTGGTTCTACGTTATTAAGTCTCTTTGTGGTGTTTAGTAGATATTCATTGTGAGGATATATTAGAAGGATGTCCGCTATGTATCTGAGGTAAGTGGGGATTTTAGGTATGTTGTGTTTAAATGGATCGAACTCTAAAAATTCTAGGAACATACAAACAAGAACACCGCTTACCCATTCGTAAACTAAATTTTTCTTGTAGAAATACTTATGGAAAGTTCATTTTTTTGTGTTCCTGTAGCGCCAGTTTACGAATTCCGAAGAAGTTCGTCGCTCGACGCCATTTTTAAACATTGATCTGAGAAAGTATTTGTATACAGCTGACAGTTTAGATATTTTAAACTATTTTGGCACCAATGCATTACATTCATATGAAAATCTCAATCTGAAAAAGCTATTTATGAACATAACTTGAGTTCTTAGGTTAATGTGTTGGGTTAACCCAGACTTATTCTATGTTCAATTTACTTTTCTCCTATTCTAATTATAACTGGTTCACACACCGAGGTATTTGAAGTTTTTAGTATTTATTAATTCCAAATCTCAAATTCTTACGATGGATTCAGGATATATGATATTACTGCTTTCATTCCAATTCCAGATCATAGTTTATGTTTTGTTTACCAAAGTTTTATTACTTAGAAAACTTGGTAGAGGATGTTGATTTTTTGTTCAAGATCATTCTTATCCCAACTATGAATACCTATGTCATCAGCATAGCACCCCATCGGTACACTGGTTTCTGGAAAGAAAAAAACAGGAATTTTGTTTTTTATTAGTAAATTCGTTTGGGATATGGTATGGAATACTTAAATGATCAGTGCCCATGTCGTCACATCTATGTCTGCATATGCCCAGACCATTGTCTAAGAAGAGATTAAATAGCTTGGGGTTCTCATTTTTACATTGTCGATGAGGTTTGAAATGATTCCGTATTGAGGTCTTCACTACGTATGTACAACTTTATGGACTGATATCAGTCTTTTGCAAATTTGTTCTTTATGTTGTTAGTAACCTAAAATTTGAGGGTTTTCACTATTTTGTTGTATATCTTAGGTAATTTTTACTATCTGCGGGACTTATATATTCGTGGAAAATTTTTTTTATTGCTTTTTCGTCTTTTATGTAATCGGAGTGCATCTGGTTAGAGTTAAATAAGTTAATGGAATTTTTATTGCGGTTTAAATCGGGTTTATTATCTAGGTTGCTCTGATAAGTTGTCCTTAAAAAGAATTTCATTTACCAATACTTGGGACATTACATATAATTTCTGCAATTTCCTTAATAGGTTTCCACTCAATATCAAATGACTTTATTCGACATTGGGTGACTTTGGAGACCATTTAACACACAAAAAAAACATTTCTGTGCTTTATCCTGCTGAAAATGGCCATCAGAGAATAAGTGCATGGTAATCATAAGCTGAGCCACGTGGTTAGCCACAATTGCTAGACAGTCTTTTATTAATACCAAGGCTTTTATTAGTATGCCAAGAAAATATTCCCTTATACTATTATACCACTATGTTGAGTGAAGGCAGGATGGATCCATACTTTCATATTGTTTACGCCAAATTCTGATCCTACCATCAGAACGTCGCAGCAGAAGTTGATATTTATTAGAAGAGACAAAGTATTTCTAGTCTACTGTTGTCCAATTTCATTATCTCTCATTTTGAGAGTTCATCGATGAGAGAAAATAGATTGCAGAAAGAGGGAAATGCTGCACATGTCCCTTCATTTCTACTACTGGCGGGTACTTCCGTTTCTTTTAAATCATGGGGTATTTACCAAGAGACCCAGCATGTTTTAAGATCCATTAACATTGTAAGTCACTTTAACACAGAAAATTCATTGTTGTATTCCATGCATCAATCTGCCACTATTTCTCTTTTATTTATGATACACATTGCGTTGTCCCGCTGGAAGCGGCCATCAGAGGATAGGTTCAACATAGACATACATTTAGGTACGTGGACAACCACAATACCTAAGTAGGGTAGTTTTATTGGTACGATGGGTCTCAATGTATGCCAAAATATATTCTCCATTCCAACGACCATACCGCGTTTCAAGTTACCGAAATTACATTTTTCCCATTCTAATGCTTGAAATAAAACTCAGTAGGTCACCATGACTATGTTTAAATGTCTATATACCTTTAATTACTGTCGCTTCATTGACTGATTAAAACTTTGTATAATAGAGCATTTGTATATGTGTACTTAATAAAGTGTCCAAAGAGTATATATATATATATATATATATATATATATATATATATATATATATAGAAGTCAACACTTAGAGCCTCTAAGTGTTGACTTCTATGTTCACTTTTATATTTACACACGCTCTATCTCTGATATTGAGCACTTTATCCCTTAAATATAGCACACCTTAAGACTATATTTCTTTATATATATATATATATATATATATATATATATATATATATATATATATATATATATATATGTATATAATATATCTTTATTCTTTTTCGCATTATATATATGTATATATATATATATATATATATATATATATATATATATATATAAACATGATCTACTTATATACATATATCTGTATGTTCATGTGTAAGAACAGTTGAATATCAGGATTTTGAATGATGATTTTGAAGGAAAGCTTTTTTAAAAACTATACTGTACCGATGTGTGTGAAGGTGGTAGTTTAATAATTTCTTTAAAACTTTAAAATAACTCAACAGGCAGCTGAATGATCATTGTTAATGTCATTAATTGTCAGTCGTTCATTTCTGAACCGACTGTTCGGTTGAACTCTCTTCTTACGGACGGGAGGAACCCGAAGGAGGCTACGCCGAAGGGCGGAGTCTCCTTCGGGGAGGTAAAACCGGCCCTGAACCCGTTTATACGGGTTCAATGGGCATATTTTTGTCCGAGCCCACGGGCTCGGAATGCCCACGTTAAAAAGGCCTTGTGCCACATGACAGTCTTTTGCAAATTTGTTCTTTATGTTGTTAGTAACCTAAAATTTGAGGGTTTTCACTTTTTTTGTTGTATATCTTAGGTAATTTTTACTATCTGCGGGACTTATATATTCGTGGAGGGGGGTGACTGAATATCGTCATTAATTTTCAAAATCTTAATGAAAACAAACCGATATTAAAGTTGACTTTCAGCCTACTTAATATTATTGTACAAATAAAGAAATTAACTTAGTTTTGCAAAAAATAATTACAAGATATGTATTCAACTGCAATAATAATACAAAATTTTCATTCTTCGATGATAAATATTTTGAATTGATAAATTTGTACTTCATGCTGCTTAGGCAGTTCTAGCAGAAAGAATCACAGGGGTGTGCTCATATTGATATGCATTTAAACAAACAAATTAATGCAAAATAATTGACCTGCAGGGATCGGCGAAATCCTTCCCATCCTAGGAAACCTTTCAGCATGCGTAGAATGGCCAATCCCTATGAAAATAAGGGGAAAATCATATTAACAATTGATCAGATCGTACTCTTTGCTGTATAAAATAAACACTGTAAATATTATAAAGAGAAGGTGCAACGTCATTCTCATGGAGGTTAGCATCAGCCCTGATGATAGAAGGCACAGAGGGGTCTTTCAGACGATTAATAGAGAGTAGTTTTGTTTTGAAGCTGTTAAAATTAACAAGCCAGTTGTTGCTCAGTTAACAACAGACTGTAGGTCATTTTTGAGATAAGCTCCCAATTTGACCTTATCTAACTGATCAAACTTATTATCGAGACAGGAGTAAATGGTTGTGTCATCAGCATAGATACCAAATTGAGAGCTGATGTAATCAGGAAGGTCATTGATGAAAATTAAAATAAAACTAGGACCAAAGATCCCTAGAGGACATCTGCATTAATACTAAAAGATTGGTCGTTCAGAATAACTTCAATTTCGCGATTTGGTAAGAAATACTGAATCAGTTAAAAAAATTATTCCGGAGACGCCATAACCTTTTAACATGTGAAGAAAAAACCTGTTACATGACATCGAGATATCCAAAGCAACAGCATGAGCTTCACCATTCTTGATAAAGCATTTCAGCAATAGTCATTAATACATCAGCAGTTGACCTAGTGACGCGAAAGCCATATTACTTATTGTTGAAGCTTGGATAAGCATGGAATAATAATAATACAACACAAAATGTACGTAAACAAAATGTATTGAAACAAGGAAAAGGTACACAATATTTACAGTTAGTTTTGGTATATTCTTGGGAAGACTGTTCCTGTAGAATGGGTTGACTTAATCGCAGTCGGACAGAGTCTCTCGATTGGATCTCTTCTTACTTCTTCCCTCGTCTTCCCGGTACCAACCCATATTTATATGGTCGGTACTCCACTATGTAAATTAGGTGGATCGTACCACAACACTTATCTAAAACAGCTCCTACGACGTGAGATGCTCAACCAATTCAGAGTTGATTAGAGCATTGAGTACTTTGCCAAAAACAGGTATAAAGCTAATAGACCGATAGTTAGATGAATCAGACAGTTCGCCTGGGTTCTTAAAGACTGAAATTACAGAAGAAGATTTCCTAAAAGCAAGAAGCCCTAAGGCATTTTTTGCCGACTTTAGAGAAAACATGAGCCAGTTCAGAAGCACATTTCTTAAGGACTATTGCGTGGATACCATCAAGTCCACGTGCTTTGAGGGGATCCAGTTTAGAGATGATAGCAAAAACCATAGACGGTTTTATATACCTATCACTGAATAGAGATGCAGTTCTAAGTGGAAGGTCGCGCAAAGAAAACTCCAGATGAGCCAAGGGTAGAATTTGAAAGGAGTTTACGAACAAGACTTTCAGTAGAAGATTTCAATATCACAAATTGAGTGAAGAGAGAAGGGATAGATGACTTACTCTTATTTAAGACACTGTTACAGATCTGCCAGTAACCACGTGAACCAAACTTGTTAGCGGCTATATCAGCAAAGTCTTAGCCTGTTTGTGGACACGTTTACAATTATTACGAGCAGACCCAAACCTGCGCCTGTTGTGATCGGAACTATCACGTTGGAACATCTGGAGGAAGTGATTCCTATGGATGATAGCGGTTGAACAGGCCGGTGTCAACCAAAGAGTAGATTATGTATTTCCGAGAAGGGACAAAAGAATCAATGCTGTCTTTAACCCAAGAAACCTCCGTCGCATAATTCAAAATAAGAAGGTTAAGAATATCGGTCCAAAGTGATTCTCGAAGAAAGTCAAGAAATAAATCCCAACTAGAAAAAATATTGTGAATAGGAGGTTCCTTTCTAATACACTACGCAAAAGAAATATCAACAGATACTACTGCGTGATCCGAATTGTCAAGAGGACAGAGTTGTGATGCGCGACAAGAGCTAGGATAGGAGGTAAGGAACAAACCTAGTAAAGAAACATGTTCCTCAGAATTATTGGAAACTAGTAGAAAAATCCATTATTTGACTAAGCAACGGAAAAATTGAAAGTCTGAAAGGCAGCATCGGTAACATTAAAATTTTTAAGCCACTTGACATGATGAGAAATTAAAATCGCCAAAATGTTCGCAGATGAATGCAGAGAAAGAGAGAGAGAGAGAGAGAGAGAGAGAGAGAGAGAGAGAGAGAGAGAGACTCATTTTTATCTTGTCAGAAATATTGTCTAATATATTCCTGAGAAGAAGATCGATATAGGGAAAAAGAGATAGCAGTATTAAAAGCCGAAAGCACATGAAAAAACCAGCTGACATTCAAGAGACAATTCCCTTGCAATTGGAAGATTTGCCCGGATAAGGCCATGCATCTGCATCCTTGAATCCTTTCGATAAAGAGAAAGAAGAATTTAAGTTAGTTTCGCAGTATGAAGATATCTGGAGAATATTTCAAGAGAAAGGATTCTACAATACGAATGAATACTACGAATATTGGAGAAAGAAAGGTTGAGGGAGTAGATGATTTTTTGTTTCCTGGTTTACTCGTATTTCTTTTCATTGTATCTGTCATGAAAATATTTTGTTTTAAGAAGAAGAAAGGCCAAAATATTTAAGAAAAGACAAATTCATCAACGGCAATATAAATTGGTTAGACTAAACCATAATGTGGCCTCAAGGTTGCCTATCAGAAATACACGCAGGGACACTTATCCATCATGCGGCATGGTACAACAAATACCCCGGTATTAAGCGACTGATGATTAGAGCAGCCTCTCTACTCCCTATCAAATAGTTCGAGCTCCTTACTACCGATAATGCAGCAAGTACCGGTACCCTTATAATGAAAAGTTGCAGCCAGATCACCAAAAAGTTAAGAGTTAAACCATTACTGCCATGGAAGAAAGAACCGGTAAACCATATCCTAAACAGGAAATAAGGGATAAAGTTCTACTCCTGTTCACTAAACAACGAAGGAGTCATTGACCTGGCGATAGGCTGAGTAATATGCAAGAGAATAGCACAAATGAAAAATATTAAAAATATAAGCAAGAAAATACTAAAGTTTCCCTTTAATATTAATGTACATATTTAAAAACATGCAATTATTCAAATTGTGATCATAAAGTTCTTTAAAATAAACGTTTTAGCTCGAAGCACCTTTTTAATATACATAACCAATAAAATACTATTTGTTCGTTGTAGAATAGCATTTTTAAATCAAATGTTTAATTAGTGTGCGTGTATGTGTGTGTGCGTGTGCGAGTTTGTGCGTGTGCGCATGTGTAGTGATTGTATAAAATAGGTTCTTACATAGCGAAAAGGTGACATTTCAAATCATGATTTCTCTGTTTCACAATGAAAAGTGACTTTTTGAGCGTGTGTGCGACTCTAAATTATTTGCGTGCCAACGTCTACAGTTGGGCGCGACTTTTAGCAAGAATAAAATTTGTGTTTCTTTCTAAAAAATGATGATGTAAATCAATTACACAAACCATAAACTCGAAACTTAAAATCTTTTCTCAACGATAATTCCTATTGGTGTGAGAATTTGAAAATTCTTGCCATAATAGTTAAATAGTACTCGCAAAAATACAGCACAATTGTGACAAAAATTACTGGTCACAAGAAAAGTTTAAAAAAAGAGACATATACAAACGAATGAGAATATCACTTTTTATGATTATCAACAGATTGTGCAATATTTGCAAAAATGTCATACAATTTCTCCTTAAAACAAAACCGCATTTTAAAGCATTTAATTATTTGCTTTATTGAAGTGTATATTGTTTTATGTCACCTAAATGACTGAAAAATTCCCGAGATGTGTATAACTTCATCACAATATCGTAAGTTGATATTTTCGTTCATCCATAGTCAGAAAATATTAAAATGATTCGTGAAATATGGTTTTCATCGCGCTTCGAAGAAAGTAACTTGATCTGTTTAGCATATCATAAAATGTTTTGATCAATCCTGCTAGCGAGGTAGAATGTTTGTAACTGATTTACTGATATCAGTAGATATTCATGCAATTTTCATTTACAATCAGAATCATTAAATGGAAGACTGAAGACAAAAATATAGCGTAAATACCTTTTTGTAAGCAATATCATCAAACTTCTCCATGATGTCATGAATACTGTTTATGGTAGAAGAAACTGGATGAGATGTCAGTAGTGCATCTGTTTCCATGACAGGTATGATTTCCAAAACTACTTGCAGAGAAAACTGTTAGAAAAGGAAACAAAATATTAATTAAAAAAAATATTAACGATGTAATCTGTTTTTAGAATCAAAATAAAACAAATAACCAAAAGAAAAGAAAAATGCATACCATCTGAAAAGAAATGTTTACAGGATGAAAACAAATACAATCTTCATTACTGAAAGTTGTAGGTACAATTTTAATCACTACACTGAGGTTAGTATACTCAACAATATCTGCTTGCTAATTTTCTTCATTAACTTTATCACATTACTCCATATTTCAAGCGATATTTAACAAAGTTTAGCATCTACAGGGAATATATATATATATATATATATATATATATATATATATATACGTCATCCTAAAAACTGAATGCCAAAGTATGCAACGAGAGGGAGGATGAAATACTTGACAAATTCGGACTAGGCAAATTCGGGACTTTTAATGAACGCGGAGAAATATGGTTCCAGTGGTATATAGGGTGAATAACCAGCTAGTAGCCAACACCTGGTTTCAAGAACACTCAAGACGAATATGGATATGGAGAAGCCAAAAACAAACAAACAAAAAAACAAATCGACTACATATCTATCAACAAGACATTCAGGAATGCAGTTGTACATTGCAAAACATATTGCCGACTATGGAAGCGATCACTTTGCAGTGATATGTCAACGACTGAAATTGAAGGGGCTTAAAGCAGAACCCAAACTGGAATACGACAGACTCTTGAACGACCCAAATCTATATGAACAGTTTGAAATGCAGATACTAGGGACAAAATGAAAATGGAAACAAAGTGTGACTCATTAAGAGAAGCTTTAGTAACATCAGGAATCGAGTTCATCCTAAGGGAAAATAGACGGAAAAAATAAATGGATGACAGAATTCTCGAAATTATGAAAAGGAGAATAAAAAAAAACAATGCCAAGACACGGAAAAGAATATAGGACACTACACAATGAAATAAAGAACAAATGCAAACAGGCTAAAAAGGAATAGCTCAACGAAAAATGTGCAGAAATAGAAGGAATATATTTCACAGATAAAGTAGATGTACATAAAAAATGAGAACTAACAGGACAAAATGCATGCTCATCAACAGAATGCATAAAATCCAAGGACAAAACGCTGATATTAGAAAAATAAAAAAAATGGATGGAACGAATATATCGGAGAACTCTTTCACGACAAAAGAGGGCAGCGAGCAATGCATAGAAATATCGACGGACCGGAAATATTAAAATTTGAAGAGTAATCTGCACTGCCTAAATTGAACAGAAAAAAAAGGCAGCAGGGTCAGATGGAATTGTAATAGAGATGCTGAAAACCTTAGATGATTTCGGCATAGACAAGATTACAGAAAGCATAAATAAAATCTACAACAGTGGTGATATACTGGAAGACTATTTTCATAGCACGGCCAAAGAAGCCAGTCGTAAACGAATGTGAACTTCATCGGACATTCAGCCTAATGAGCCATATAGCAAACTTATCACCCTCATTCTGATGAGTAGAGTGCACAGAAAAATCAGACCAAATTTTTGGTCTGATTCTGCTGCACGCTCTACTCATAAGAATGCGGATGACAAAACACTGGGATAAGGAACACGATATTTATTTTCAGAATGTTATCAGAAAGAGCAATACAAATGCAGAAGAACGTGTACCTGTGTTTTATAGATTACGCAAAGGCATTCGAAAAGTACGCCACAATGATCTGTTGGGACTACTCAGCAGCCTTGCCATGTTTGGGAAGGATATTAGAATAATCCTATACGTGGCCGCAAAACCTATACTGGCTGCAAAACGCCTGCATACGGATAGAAAATGTTTTCAGCAGATATTCAAAAACAGATAAATTTTAATTTTAAAGTTTAATAAAGTCGTGACGTGTCGTAAGTACCTTAAATGTCTAAGAGAATGAGTGAAATCGGTGATAGATTTTAATCAGTAAAACAACGATAGTTTTGTAAAAATACAATAAATATTCAAAGAAAATGTTGTTTTAAATGAGTTTAACGCATCAATATTATTTGGAACAGAAATAAACAAATGACACACTGAAATAATAATAAATATTAAAAAAATCCCTAACTTTCCAAAGCTAAATTTATATAAGCAGCAGTATGTAGCGTATTGATATGTTGTTTGCCTGTTTGCCTTGGCAAAGGTTTCGAATGTGAGATCACTTAATGTTGTTTATCTGCCTGCTTTAACGAGATAATAACAACCAACTATTAAAAATATATATATATATATATATATATATATATATATATATATATATATAATAATCTTGAAATAGTCACAAACACTTCCAAAACCATTATAAATATACTAAGATCTTCAATAGCACTAATATTTCTGAAGCAGGCATTTATAAAATAAATTGCCAAAACTGTTCCTCTCAATATATTGGAGAAACAAGTAGAAGTTTGAAAAAACGCATTTATGAGCACAAAAGAGACCTCACAAAAAACAACTTAGCTAATGCACTAGTCATAAATAGAAATAAATTCAACGATAATTTTGATTTTAAAAATGCTACTCATAAAAAAAGAAAATAACTCACTCAGAAGGAAAATTCTGGAGAGTGCCGCCATAGAAAATTACCCAAATATTAATCTACGCCCAGGCTTTTTCCCCATTTCACCTTTCTTAACAAAATTACTGCTCTTACAAACAAATATATACAACAGATTCATAAAATCAAAAGAAAATGGTTGAATACATCAACACAGATATAATGACAATATTCTCCACACGTGACAATCTCTGACGTTATTTTTCATTTAAAAAATATGAAAATAGCGTTTCTCTACATTCCAGTTGCTAGGTACATTCTGTTTTTGCTTTTATTAGTTACTTTGTTCATTTAATTTCATTTTCGTATTTTGCTTTGATAAAATCCACATTGGACGAAACGCGTCAGCAATTGCCAGTTTTCCTATTGTCATTTTTTATTCATAAATATTGTCTTCTCTACTGGTTAAATCGAGAAATTTTCATATATATATATATATATATATATATATATATATATATATATATATATATATATATATATGTGTGTGTGTGTGTGTGCGCATAAAAATATTGCTTAAAGCAATATTTTTATCGCGCACACACACAGTATTCTATATTTATGAGTTAAAGGGCTCTATGTCAAGTATAGAGCATATGCAAATATAAAAGTGGGTATTGAGGTCAACACCTAGCGGCCCCAGTCTGTTTCATGCTTACACTTAAAATCAGCAGACATCGAAGAAAAAATGTACATAGGTGTAAATGAAAGACTCTGGAATTAAATAAACTACGCATAAAAATAATAATTTACAAATAGTAAATACGCGAACAGCACAATACATCTTAAACATATATGGGAAATTAAAAACAAAAAAACAATCACGCCAAAAATATCACAGAAAATAAGGAAAATAGCATCAGCCTACAACAATAAATTCAAAAACTGTAAACTCTGTCTGGAGGAGAAAATAGTAATAATTACCTTCCCAGACCAACACAAATTACTAAATAAACGATCAGAACTAATCTCAAAATGCAGACACGAAAACAAATTCTTACTACGTTACTTAAAAATCAAAATAAAATAAATAAAACAAGTAAGTATAATAAATTATTTCAAATCAATAAGTAAATAAATTAAGTAAATAATAAGCAAATTAACAAACTACGAATGTGCACATAAACACAAGAAAGCGTAATAATGACAATCAACAACAAATAACAAAGTAATCAATAATAAAGTTAAAAAAACATACTATAAAATAAACACAAGACTGTATTTGGACCCACAATTATTTCCACTCAATGGGCCCTAGAATATTTGAAACATAACTGTTACCGCCTATCCAATAACCATTAGAATAACAGATATCCATAATACATCACTGGCCAACATTTATAAATAGACGAGCCAAAACACAACACACATGGCCTGACGACTGCGTTTAAGCAGAAAACATACCGTCACCGCTGGGTGTTGACCTCAATGTCACACACACACACACACACATATATATATCTATATACACACATAGAGAGAGAGAGAGAGAGAGAGAGAGAGAGAGAGAAAGAAAGAGGGATAATTTGTAATACACTCTTGCGAGTGTAAACACTTTTAGATTAGTTCATTATCATCTCACTGAAAAAGATACTAATTCTTTTGTTTCTGTAATGTTTAAAATTTGGCCTCCATCAATATGCATTCAAGAAATACTCTTTTTTAGGAAAATCTTTGTTTTTTCTTGAGAAATACTATATTCACCGCAACTGTCTGAAAGATATTTTTTGTAGTTGCTTTTCATATTATTTATCCCTGCTTGTTTAATGTATTGTTTATTCATCTTCCTGTAAATTTCACCCGTGCATACACTGTTATAATATATTTACATACGGACTTTTAGCCAGTGTTGTCACATTCTGTTTGATCTTTGAAACCGTTTCAGATTACCTTTCCAGCAGGTGTTGTGTTTGGTTTGTGTTTTGTGATTTCTTTTTCGCTACGAACTGTTTCACCGAATTCTTTGATTATTTAAAAAAAAATGTTATGGTAAGAAAATAAGAGAAACCATTTATCAATATACCCCGAAAGAAATACACAATTCACATAAAATATACGGCAAGAACCAATGAAATCTTATAGCTTTTATCTACATGAATGGCATTTTCATGACAAATAAAAAAGAACAGGATACTCATGTTAGTCTAAAATAAAACAGTAAAACCAAATTGTGGTTGATGTCAAAGACATTTCGTTGGTATCAACGGATAAAAATTCTGAACATTGCATCAGTTTGGAACAATGTAAACAATCTGGAGCGTGAATGTAAGAGGGTGGGGGTTACGTAATGAAACATACACTTGATACTATAGAATCAGAAATTAATCGCAGAAGACAGTGATAACCTGAATTTTCTAGTTTTTCTGTCTGATTTTTAACATATATACATGTGTACACATATGATACACCATTAAATTCTCATGTGTGTCTGCTTGTGTGTATGTTTGCGCGCGCCCGCCGTGCGTGTGTGTGATACTTACGGCATCCCATTCCGGATAAATATGGTTAATCCCGAAATACATAAGAATACTGGCAAATCCTTCATTCAGCCAAAGATCGTCCCACCATTTCATCGTTGCCATATTGCCAAACCACTGCAATAAAAATATCAAGTATTTTTAAACATCGGTTGAAGTGGCACAATGTCTTCACGTTAAATATAATATTTCTAATCGTAAATGGAAAAGAAAAATTTATCACCAAATTCATTGTAATTAGAGAGCGAAACTGTATATTGTCATCTTTCAAGAACACCTGTCGATCATTCCCACAGATAGTGAGTTCGATCTTCTCTGGAGACTTCAGTACTTTGGTCGTTACGTTAAATGAAGTAACTAATTCTGGTCTGTTTCTTGGCAGAGGTAGTTGAGTATTTCCTACTGACACAAATAATCTATGTTTGAACCCAGTTTTTAAAAATGCCAGTATTTGGAATGTTAATTTTCAAGACAAGTAGGCTTTTCTTGAAAGCCTAGCGTAACATAATCCTCCTAAGTCACTTCTTTTCATTGATTTTATGTTAGATAAAACTTAATAATTATATTTTGTTACTTTTTAGTTGGAAATTAAATTGTAGTCCTATGATGAATAAATTAAAAAAATAAATAGCAAACGTTTATTTTTTTTTGTACATACTTTAAATCTTTAACCATTTAGAAATGTGGTGTTTTGTGAAACATTGGCGCATAATGACAATCATTATTTTCATTCTTTGTAAAGTGCTCTGAACTCCGATCCAATTTACGGTAGAAATATGTTGTGGTAGGATCCACCTAATTTGCACAGTGGAGTACCGACCATATAAATATGGTTGGTACCGGGAAGAGAGGGAGGAATCAAGAGATTCAACCAGAGACTCTGCCCGACTGCGACTCAGTCAACACATTCTCCAGGAAAGGTCTTACCAGGAATATACAAAAGACTATATGTAAATATTGTGTACACTTTCTTGTTTCAATACATTTTGTTCTAAGTACATTTTGTGTTGCATTATTATTCCATGCATTAGTCAAGTTTCAACAAAATATCCATTACAAAGACTTTTCTCACGAGATAATTGCTCAGTCGATCTCAAGTGGCTATATATATATATATATATATATATATATATATACATATCATGTCATAACTATTTCTCACTCAAATGAAACATGCTTCTTATCGCTATTTACAAAGTAAGGTTTAGCCTGACATAAGCCAAATCTGAGAAAATCAAGTTAAAAAGGCTTTTCGGAAAACCTGAAATTCTTGCTTTTTAGTTGAGTCTTAATAACGAATCTATCATGGTTGCGAAATAAGCAATTATCTGATAGACGAAGCGGTCACAAATGTGCTTTTCTTGAAGTGTTTTTCTTCTTATTTTTGACACCTAAAATCATTATTACGAATATCAGAATATCAGTTTCCTACTTTCGATGTCAAACAGCAAAATAGATTTAAATTCTAAACTTCAGTTTACTATAGTAATAACCGAAAAAAATAATATAAATTAACATTTTATTAAACGAAATTTCAAAGCAATCATATCAGATTGTATAGGGTAATCTATATCAATAAAGCAGAACAAAAATCAATATTTACTTCAGAGTGAAATAAGACGAATGATGTAATAGCAAAATAGATATATGCAATCATTTAGAAAGGTTGGAATGTAAAAATGTAAAGGTATGTATGAAATTTTAAAAATGTTTAAATAGAATATCTTTGTAATTAATCTTCTATCTTTACGAATACAGCTATACGTAATGTACGCAATATTTCATTTTATAAAATGATTGAAAATCGATCCTTTTGTTCATCTGATGATGGATTCTGTAAGAAAGTGAATTTAAAGTCTTACCGTGTGTGCTATTTCGTGTGATATGATGAGTATGATCAGGAACTTGTTGGTACTTGATGACACCTCTGGATCATAAAGAAGTGAAGTCTCACGATAAATAACAAGGCCCCAGTTTTCCATCGCGCCACCACTGAAGTCAGGGACAGTCACATGATCTGAAGACAAGAAATCCTATGAGCATAAATTAATTTCATAAGTTGATTTTGATAGAGAAAACCGATATGAATGTTACAAAATAATTTTAAGTTCTGAAAATCAATCAATCGATTCATAATTTTAATGAAGCCTTCACACACGTGCTTCTGTGCACACAAAAAACTTGCAATAAAGAATGAGTTGAAAATAAGCGTTGATACAAATGAGATAACTAATTAAAAAACAAATTGACAAAGATTGTAAAATAAACATTCCTTCGTTATGAACTTCGTTTCTTTATTCTATAAGTATTTATGTGGAGAAATGTTTATCAATGTTTATTAATTCGAGAAATCCAAAAGTTTAAATTAAATCGTAAGATTATAAGTATCGCATCGTATCGTATCGTATCTAATTTATATTTTCATCTATCTATCCTGGTCTGATATGTCAATAAATTGAATGTTTCTATCATCTATCTATCTATCTATCTATCTATATCTATCCTATCCTGTTTTAGAGAGAGAGAGAGAGAGTTTTGAAAGACAGAAAGTCTATCGGTAGAGGTGGTAAAAAGTGAAATTAAAACCAGATTTACCAGCTTCAAAATCATTGATGGTGTATGGAAACATTCCTTTGTCGTTGGGTGAACACGCTTTTTAAATCATCTATCTTTTTAAACCATTTACTATTTATTAAAAAAGTGTAAATTAAATCAGTATATGGGTGGGCTCAAAAATTCCGCTTGAGCGATCATGTGATGGTTATTACTACAAGTCCTAATGGGTCCCTCAAAATTGAATGTCCATAAAAAAACCTTGTCATCTTACTACGATTACATGGTTATCCACTGTACACAAGTACAGACAAAAACATTTGAAAGACAAAAAGATTCAATTTTGTGTTTTGAATAGCTTTAATTCATTGAAAAAGGAAATCAGCTTAATACAATATAGACATAACAGCATCAAGTGAAACTCAACTAATTGATTGTGGACAGCTTGAGGAGATAGAGGAAATTTAAACATTTTTTTTCTGATCAGGGAAATCGGAGGGTGCAGCACGCTTTTCAGGCGTTGGATTTGTTATCAGAACTAATATCGCATATACACTGATGCAGGTGGTGAGCGATCATCTGATGGCATTAAAATTTGATCTTGATAATGCTGCTACTATAAATTTAATCATTTTCTATGCGCCAAACATAAATTTTGAAGAATCAGAGATAACGTCATTTTATGAGAAACTAAATTATATTGTAAGAACATGATAAACTTTGATATGGATCTATAATAGTTGAAAAAAACCAGATGGTGCTGCAAAATGCTCTTCCGTAATTTAACCAGATGGTTATGGATGGAGTTTAAAAGAATTAGTATGGATGGAGTTCCTACTTTTGTAAGTATGAATGAAAAGCTAGTATATGGATGGAAGAAATGAAAACCAGATGGTGCTATGGATGGAAGTAAGATGAATGAAATGAGATGGTGCTATGGATGGAGTAATGAATGAAAACAAAATGGTGCTATGGATGGAGTGACTAAGATGAATGAAAACCTGGTTTATGGATGGAAGTAAGATGAATGAGAAGCAGATGGTGCTATGGATGGAGTGAGAAGATGAATGAAAACCAGATGGTGCTATGGATGGAGTGAGTAAGATGAATGAAAACCAGATGGTTTTATGGATGGAGTGAGTAAGATGAATGAAAACCAGATGGTGCTATGGATGGAGTGAATAAGATGAATGAAAACCAGATGGTGCTATGGATGGAGTGAGTAAGATGAATGAAAAGCAGATGGTGCTATGGATGGAGGTTGGGTAAGATGAATGAGAACCAGATGGTGCTATGGATGGAGTGAGTAAGATGAATGAAAACCAGATGGTGCTATGGATGGAGTAAGGTTATGAATGAAAACCAGATGGTGCTATGGATGGAGTGAGTAAGATGAATGAAAACCAGATGGTGCTATGGATGGAGTGAGTAAGATGAATGAAAACCAGATGGTGCTATGGATGGAGTGATGAATGAAAACCAGATGGTGAATGAGAAGCAAGATGAATAAAACCAGATATGGATGGAGTGAGTAAGATGAATGAAAGCAGATGGTGCTATGGATGGAGTGAGTAAGATGAATGAAAACCAGATGGTGCTATGGATGGAGTGAGTAAGATGAATGAAAACCAGATGGTGCTATGGATGGAGTGAGTAAGATGAATGAAAAGCAGATGGTGCTATGGATGGAGTGAGGTAAGATGAATGAAACAGATGGTGCTATGGATGGAGGAGAAGATGAATGAAAACCAGATGGTGCTATGGATGGAGTGAGTAAGATGAATGAGAAGCAGATGGTGCTATGGATGGAGTGAGTAAGATGAATGAAAACCAGATGATGGTGCTATGGATGGAGTGAGTAAGATGAATGAAAACCAGATGGTGCTATGGATGGAGTGAGATGAATGATGAATGGATGGAGTGAAGATGAATGAAACCAGATGGTGCTATGGATGGAGTGAGTAAGATGAATGAAAAGCAGATGGTGCTATGGATGGAGTGAGTAAGATGAATGAAAAACCAGATGGTGCTATGGATGGAGTGAGTAAGATGAATGAGAAGCAGATGGTGCTATGGATGGAGTGAGTAAGATGAATGAAAAGCCAGATGGTGCTATGGATGGAGTGAGTAAGATGAATGAAAAACCAGATGGTGCTATGGATGGAGTGAGTAAGATGAATGAAAACCAGATGGTGCTATGGATGGAGTGAGTAAGATGAATGAAAACCAGATGGTGCTATGGATGGAGGAGGTATGAAAACCAGATGAATGAAAACCAGATGGTGCTATGGATGGAGTGAGTAAGATGAATGAAAAACCAGATGGTGCTATGGATGGAGTGAGTAAGATGAATGAAAAGCAGATGGTGCTAAACCTATGGATGGAGGAGTGAGTAAGATGAATGAAAACCAGATGGTGCTATGGATGGGTGAGGAGTAAGATGAATGAAAACAGATGGTGCTATGGATGGAGTGAGTAAGATGAATGAAAACCAGATGGTGCTATGGATGGAGTGAGTAAGATGAATGAAAACCAGATGGTGCTATGGATGGAGTGAGTAAGATGAATGAAAACCAGATGGTGCTATGGATGGAGTGAGTAAGATGAATGAAAACCAGATGGTGCTATGGATGGAGTGAGTAAGATGAATGAAAACCAGATGGTGCTGAATGGATGGATGGAGTGAGTAAGATGAATGAAAACCAGATGGTGCTATGGATGGAGTGAGTAAGATGAATGAAAACCAGATGGTGCTATGGATGGAGAGTAAGATGAATGAGAACCAGATGGTGCTATGGATGGAGTGAGTAAGATGAATGAAAATGGTGCTATGGATGGAGTGAGTAAGATGGATGGAGGAGTAAGATGAATGAGGAGTGAGTAAGATGAATGAAACCAGATGGTGCTATGGATGGAGTGAGTAAGATGAATGAAAACCAGATGGTGCTATGGATGGAGTGAGTAAGATGAATGAAAACCAGATGGTGCTATGGATGGATGGATGAATGAAAACCAGATGGTGCTAGATGAATGATGAATGAAAACAGATGGTGCTATGGATGGAGTGAGTAAGATGAATGAAAACCAGATGGTGCTATGGATGGAAAACCATGATGGTGCTATGGATGGAGTGAGTAAGATGAATGAAAACCAGATGGTGCTATGGATGGAGGAGTAAGATGAATGAAAACCAGATGGTGCTATGGATGGAGTAAGATGAATGAAAACCAGATGGTGCTATGGATGGAGTGAGTAAGATGAATGAAAAACCAGATGGTGCTATGGATGGAGGGAGTAAGATGAATGAAAACCAGATGGTGCTATGGATGGAGTGAGTAAGATGAATGAGAAACCAGATGGTGCTATGGATGGAGTGAGTAAGATGAATGAAACCAGATGGTGCTATGGATGGAGTGAGTAAGAGAATGAATGAAAACCAGATGGTGAATGCTATGGATGGAGTGAGTAAGATGAATGAAAACCAGATGGTGCTATGGATGGAGTGAGTAAGATGAATGAAAACCAGATGGTGCTATGGATGGAGTGAGTAAGATGAATGAGAAACCAGATGGTGCTATGGATGGAGTGAGTAAGATGAATGAAAACCAGATGGTGCTATGGATGGAGTGAGTAAGATGAATGAGAAGCAGATGGCTAGATGGAGGGAGTAAGATGAATGAAAACCAGATGGTGCTATGGATGGAGTGAGTAAGATGAATGAAAAGCAGATGGTGCTATGGATGGAGTGAGTAAGATGAATGAAAACCAGATGGTGCTATGGATGGAGTGAGTAAGATGAATGAAAAGCAGATGGTGCTATGGATGGAGTGAATGAATGAGAAGCAGATGGTGCTATGGATGGAGGAGTAAGATGAATGAAACCAGATGAAACCAAAATGAGTGATGGAGTAAGAGATGATGTGCTATGGATGGAGTGAGTAAGATGAATGAAAACCAGATGGTGCTATGGATGGAGTGAGTAAGATGAATGAAAAGATGGTGCAGATGGTGCTATGGATGGTGCTATGGATGGAGTAAGATGAATGAAAACCAGATGGTGCTATGGATGGAGTGAGTAAGATGAATGAAAAGGTGCTAGATGGTGCTATGGATGGAGTGAGTAAGATGAATGAAAACCAGATGGTGCAGGATGGTGAGAAGATGAATGGAACCAGATGGTGTAAGGATGGAGTGAGTAAGATGAATGAGAAGCAGATGGATGGATGGAGGAGTAAGATGAATGAAAAACCAGATGGAGTGAGGAAGATGAATGAGAAGCATGGATGGAGTGAGTAAGATGAATGAAAACCAGATGGTGCTATGGATGGAGTGAGTAAGATGAATGAAAAGCAGATGGTGCTATGGATGATGATGAATGAAAACCAGATGGTGCTATGGATGGAGTGAGTAAGATGAATGAAAACCAGATGGTGCTATGGATGGAGTGAGTAAGATGAATGAAAA